ATTACGTTTAGAAGAAATTGCGGCTCTGGGCGAAGAAAAAGTATGAAAATTACAAAAAAGAGACTTGATAATAACCATCATGATAATTACCATTACATATATATCATTATCATTTAACAAAAACACTACCAAACAGGTGGTTTTTTCATATGTGGCGCATATTAACATTACGGTCTAGTAGTTACAAGTCAAAACATCAAATATTAGGCGATTAAATAAAAATAAATTAATTTTCGGTAAATTCGGTTATCCGTTTTTTTAATGGACGCCCACATATAACAACAAAAATCAGTTCTTTTTACTACTTTGTAAGTTTCGCACACTAAAAGCTATAACGCCTCATAATTCCAATATAATCGAGTATGGGTTGTTCCAGGAGCACTGACAACATACAAAATAGACTGCGTCGACAACAGAAATCTTTAAGCGTATTTAAATATTTATGCATAAGTGAATGGCACTAGGACAATTTTCTCATCAATGTTCGATAATAAGAAATCGTAATTGCATATTTTATGGAATCTTTTCATCCTCAAGATAAAAATTTACATAAATTATTGTCGAAAGCGTCATTCATATTTTTTTCCATGAGTGCTACCTTTTAACAGCAATGGATTAATATGAATAATTGGAGTTGAATGGAGCCATTATGCATAAAGAGCAAACACAAATTCGTACGTTTGACGTAAACACGTCGATTCGTATTATGAATATGAACCAAATTGAATCGAGTGTATAAGTAGATATAAATTAACAATCGATTTTTTTTATCAGTTTGAATTCAATTCAACTTCATGGATGTACCCGAAATTTCAGTAATCTGGGACGCTTTGCCCAAAATCTATGTTCTATATTGAATATGTTCCTGGGGGGGCACCATGTATATCCAACTTAGGTAGACTCCCTAAACAAATAAGTTGTTTAAGTTGTTATTATCCTAAATTTTGCTTTATTCCTATACAACAAATATATTTCAAGATTATATATTACGCAACAAATTTAATTTCTAGAGAACTGTCCATTTACTTTCCATTCTTCACAACTATTAGTGTGGGCGGCCAGACCACGCGATTTGTGAAATTCATTTCTGCAAGAACCCAACAAACAAACACGATTTACCGATCAATATTTAGCCACCGTAGCAAGCAAAAAACGATAAACATGATTGTGGTTTAGAAATACATCAAGTGAAACATGCTGATTACAAACTGTTTCGTTTATTCAAAAATAAAAAGTACACTTATTCATACTTGGCCAATGTTTAATAATCCGGGACGGTAAATGAGAAACCGGAGCAATGGTGATTCGAAAATCTGAATCCAAAACCCAGCGCAATCTACAAATAGATATACATGACTTATTATCTGTAAGTGCTATGCGTATATAAGAAGATACATAAGGTATACAATTGCGATTAAGCCTTCGCCAGCAAAAAATACGCAGACAATGTCGAGTATAGCCCAATACCAGTCACAACTCACGAATAGTGTATTGCACAATATTAAAAATGCTATGCTATTCAAAAACGGATAGAAACATTTGGAAGCGATCAATGAGTAAACAAGATGCACTTTTTTCAATAACTTAACATGATATCCAGCCGTAAATGAATTTCGCGACATTTAAATTTCCATGAACTGCAATGAACACTGGTGAACAAATCTACTGATGTAGGTAAACGATCATGAGCTTATGATATGCCACTTAATTACAAGTCTAACCGTCTTTCCTCTTTCCCATGAAAATGAAATTTTATTTATTCTTTATTCCGATGAAACCAACTTTCGACGCACATTTCGTCATTTATCCAATTTTATAATTGTATAAAATCAGAAAATCAAAACAACCATGTCTATATTTAGAAAAATGCGATGACGTTGAAAATTTAGTACGATTGATCTAAAAAGAGATACCATGAAACGATAGTATTCTAATACGAAGCCATAACGATGGACGAAATGCATCAGATTTAAACGCATTCAAGGCAAGCCAAAGATCAAGGCACAGCTGCTAAGCGTAAGGTCCTTCTATTGTGAATCATTTCTAACATAGCTACAATAGGCAACCAAAACGGAAGGCACAATGAGTCTATTATCCTCGAGACATAAATTTAAATAAAATAAACACAATTCTATAACACATTGTGGTATTATCAATGGTCTCTTGGTGAATAAATAGAGTTCAAAATCACAGACGCTTCTATTCCTACGAGACGCATAAAGTTAAATCCCAAAAGAATTCGAACCGGACTTTAACGAGGGGTAGTGAAATTTATTGAAAATTACGGAGTCACGATCAAGAACGGTCCATAGAAACTATGCCCAACAAACTTTAGTATCTTTGATTCTTGCTTAGTCATATTAAATCACTTCAGCGGTTTGAAACATTAGCGGCTAAGTTCCCATCAGTACGATCAAACGAGGTGCTGAAATTCAATTTAGGTTTTGGCGCTTCAACGGATATTGGCAATTTCTTTGACTAAAGCAAATAATTATTGTTGAAAGCAGATGAAACACAACATGAAAAACAATTAAGTAATGCCCAGAAAATGAAATAACAAATTGAGATGATTCATACATTAACACGGGGTCAAAAAGTCAATTTCACCATAGCAAATACAAATATTATCTATGATTACTACATAAATGTTTAACATATACACCCTAATGAACATAAAAATATAATCTCTATATTATATTACTCGAATATCAAAGAAATTGTACTTCTCCCAGAAGTGTATGTACCAATATGGGAGTAACTAATTTTAATCGTCTACTTTACATCAACTTGTGTAAGGACGGAAGCTAGGGTCTATTTACTTGGCCAACATAGACAGTCCCCGAACTGGTAATAGAACGAAAAATAAGGGCAATCGGAATAAAATCACGGCCTAACCCTAACCTGGCACAAACACACTATACGGGAGTACCATAAAACAAGGGAAACATAAAATCGACCGTATACACTTTCATTATTACTGGAATTCGGGTTAACCCCAAAAAACTAAACACATAATTCCTTAATTTCTTCTACATAAATGAAGAAAATTTATTTAGCACTGAACCTATCTTGTGTATCCCGAAAGTTTCAGATATCGAGGAGGCTTTGCACAAAAGTTATGTTCTCTCTGGAAATGTTCCAAAATACTGAACAGATTCTGTTTTTTCGGGCCAATCTGTATGTATAATCCTATTCAACTCATGTTACAGCAAGTTACGGAACGGGGAACCAGAAGCTCGCATTTCCAGACGAATTGATTCCGATGCATATCGTTGGTGTGATAACAATCATGTGATGGACGTGTTGAAATGAGTATACTAGTAATATAAGACGCAGTGGAGGAAAACCTATTGTACTATTACCACAATAAATGCCGCTATGACGAACTACATTTAGATGACTGAACGCACATTAATGAAAGCAAAAGCGTCCATGATAACCAACGATGCAAGTTGATACTCCACACAATGAATTCGAAATACGATTACTATTTTCCGCGGAGGATGTTGGCTTTAGATTAGTACTAAACAATTTGAGCCTTTCAATAACCACGTTTTGCATAATTGGAGTATATTCGCATGGCTAAGCAGGCATATATGTTATAACTGCTATTTTAACAGAATTAGACTCATAATAACAACAGTTATATAATAGAGTACCATAGAAATTTTGAACGTAAATCAAAATAACGGATATTTAAAATGTTGTTGCTTGATTTAAAATTCAAAATACTATTTCTTGTACCTCTGTGTAGTAATTCAACTGAATTATTATTTGAGAGCAATTGATACTCTCACCTGCTCGGATACGTGCAATGTATAGTATTAATCTAAATTCTCGGCTAAATATGTTTGTACTGCAAGATGCATAAAAATTCTTATAGATACACAAAAATAAATGGAATCCGAATTACAATAAAACTAACCAAATCCTGACACTGACTCACCTGTAATCTGTTTTTTCGTCTTGAAACCCTCCCGGGACCAGCAGAACAAATGAAATAACTGACCCCAATGGACTCGGATATGACATCATGATACGAGTCATAAAGCATCGAATTTTCATAAAACGCCTTTCATATCGTCATATATTGCCACGTATTGTTTGTTTATTAAATTTGATGCTGTATTTGGAAATCGCGATAGGCCAGACACAATTCTCAACAAAGCCAATTTTAATGCATGTTTATCTGGAGTATACCATGTGCAGAGTACATTAAGATACAACAAATTTGATGTCAGCATGTTTGTAGTTCCCCTTCTAATGTTGAATTTCTTTAGTATATGTTTTTATTTGTGAAAGCATGTGATGTTGTCGTCAAATCATCCAGATGAATGGAGTTTTAAGTTTTAAAGAGATTGAAGGGTTTTATTAAAGAGATTGATTGTAAGCCACACTCGATGACCATTTGATTTAATGATTTAATTAGCAAATACATATTAAGTTGAATTCAACATCAATTATATGTAAATTATATTATCACTTGTATTTATCCTTCTGAGTGTATATATAGGAGCGATATAAATATTTCAGATCCCCTAATGCTGCAGCCCATGCTCTCAAAAACAGTATTTTTAGGATTAGATTTGGTATTAAAACAAATGGAGGCTTTCAATTATAACGTTTTACGTATTTGGAGTATCTTTGCATGATTAATTTTTTTTTTATTCCATATATTTACCGTTCTTCGTGTATATATAACATAGAGATTATATTTTTAGGCCCATTAATACAACAATCCTTGCTCACAAAAATGTTATTTTTAGAATTTAGGATTTCCAAAATATGTATTTTTGTATATGTTGATATTCTCGGTGTAAAATATCGATTTAAGTTAGGTTTTTGGAGGTAAAATTTGTCTTATATTACAATTTTATTAAAAAATGAAATCCTATTCCGATCATTAGGAATGAAACTTGTTTACATAGCATATTCTGAATACGCAATTTATTTTACCGTTCTTTTTCACTTTATCAAATAAACATAAAAATATGACTCACAGGTTCTTGATATTTTCAGTTGTCCGCTGGTGAATACAGAAGCAATTTGAATATCAGCTTGCCAGCTATTGGATAAAGTCTTGTCTGTTTTTGATGAATGACTTTGAGTTTGCCCTGAATGGAAAGGACATATTTTACAGAATTCTTCATCGAAATTTAAGAATCAATAATACAATAATCACCACAATATTTTGTATTGTTTAAAAACATGGCGCGCTAAATGTGGTAAAATTTATTTCACCTTAGAACGTAAAATTGTCAAAGTTCTGAACTGGTTCAACTCTTCGTAGAGTGAAAATTACGTTTCGCTCATTAAAATTTAATTAGCACGAAATTTCCCGAACGTTGAACATGGCTTTAAATGAAATTTAAATGATTTAAGCAAATCCAATTCATTGGATTTGAATTTTATATCGTTGCCGTATCTTTAATCAAACTGTTACCAAATATGTTCAATGATAAAATTCACGAAAGACAATGCCCACGATAGATAATATAGAAATAAACAAAAAAAAACAATAGCAAAAACTCCAGTGTAGCCGAAATCTTTAACATTTTTCTAACAAAAATTTCACAATTTCAATATGGAACGCAGATGAATGAAAACAGTGACGAAGAGATTCGTATTAATATTGATAAAAATAATTTTAAAAACTTAAAAAAATAACTTTATGCAATGCCATGTAAGGGCCAACCACGTAGCTCGTTTTGGCAACAACATTCGCCTATATTTTAGAGAAACTCGATAAATAAAAAGCGATTAATTTATCAAAAAGATAAAAATGTAATATTGAATAAGTAAAATGAATGAAAACAGCATAAAATCAGTTACCAGTCATCTTACCAGTAATTCCATGGAGATTTAGAACGTGCTGAGCTCTCGATGATCCAATTTGAGCGAGAGGTTGAACCAGAGTTGGTTTAGGATGTGGTGGGAGTCTAGGATTTGTAGAATTGTGGGCTCGAGAACCGGAATAGGTACGACCTCGTCTTGCGTGAACTGAAAAATGATTCGTCAAAAATTAAAGTTCATGAAAAAAGCATTATAAACCTATGTACAAACGTGGAATTTCCCGTTCCTTTTAAATATATCAAAACTCATTATTTACTTCTCAATTAGCCATCAAGCTTTAACATGATCACAAAATAGAATCATATTTTTTAAAATGATGAAGTTACAGTTACCATCCTGTTAGTTTCAACGAGGCATTGACCGACTACTACGCTGTCAAAATAACCTATCATCACACGTAATTTTCCATAACTCTTTATTGGACACCTCAACGTCGTTGGACGGCTTATGTAACTAATGGTCGGGGACCGCATCCTCCGCTGTCAAGTCCATGCATCTGATAGCCCATGATTAGACATGACGCAGGGTAGGTATGATAATAAAACTATATCTCAGCATGATTCATCCAGTCAAAATATTTTTAATTATGTTTGATGGATGTTGTGATATAAAATATTCAAAATCGTCGGTTCAGACAGAACTCCTCATTAATGGTTCAAACCGCATAAACGATTAAAAGCGTGTATGTGTCAGCAACATGAATAGCAATGTGTATTTTTTGTTCTCTGGAGTGACGATGTAATTAGGATTGACAGAATTTGATGAGATTAATTCTACCTGATAGTATTCATGAATATTTCAGACGACCTACAAAAGCCTTTGACATTTGACATACTTCGAGAATATTATATTAATCACAACTGTATTTCTCTGCTCTGGAGTCAACATTTCAATAATAAATGTCAAGTACAAAACACTGCTAGAAGTTAACAAGTTGTTGCTATCTCGGCGGCGTGGCGCAAAGTGCTAAGCGTTGGGAATAAGGTCGCCACCGCACCTCTGACTACCCTGCGTGGGTTCGCAGATTGCGGGGATAGTTGTGCATGGAGATTGCTCGACTCCTAGCCGACGCAGGGAGGTTCACGTAACCGCTGGTTGGTCACGGCTTCTTCCGCCATAAACCAGACCAGAGGCCTTGATTCATGATCACGTTCATGATCAAGACACATTATCGGCTTTCCACTCACTGGGATAAATATGTAAATCCTATCTTAATGCTATTCATGAATATTTCAGATTACAGGTGACGTAAGGGTATCATTTCAGCTATCCACCTATTTTTAGCCTTTAGAATACAAAACCCGAATTCATTTTTACTGTTCAATAAAACCAGAAATCAAATTGCAATCGAAATGTAAACGGGATACATTTTCAAAACTATCCCTGTTATTCCACAGATTATTAAATCAATAAACAGACGTGTGCAACATATGCAACAAAACACAAATTATACACAAATTATGAAGAATTATAATGCCAAAAACCTGACAGCAGGTCCAATTGCAATTAATTTTAACCTTCAGAAAAATTATTGTTTATATGAAGCACAGTATTGATTTTTCTTATACCTTGCATGATCGGACTTCCAGAGTCGATTACTGAATGGTTGGATCCTCCTACATTAATAACAGTTGGATCTAAATCTTCCAATCCTGCACTTTTATGAAATCTGCTTGATCTGTTGACAACTCTGAAATGTAAAAAAGAATATGAAAGTGACAAGTCGGAGACAAGTATATAAAAATAGCAATTGTTTTAGATGCAACATGCATCTAGGGTTAGTGGAATAAGCTGAAATGTGTGGTAGCAGTGGTAAAAGAGCTAAACTTAACGATGATCACTGATTGAACTTGGCTTCAAATCCTGTGGCCAGCACCTCACCAAGTTCGTGATAAATTGGGAAGACAATGCCAAAATCAGAAAGATTCTGATCCCTCCAAACTGTAGTAGCAACCTACCCACATAGGTCTGCTTTTGCAAAGCCTTTTTTGGAGCGAAAGACCATAATAAATATGTCGTTTAAAAAAATTAAAGGTATTGTACACAACCATACCAGAAGAGACCTCCTGCAATATGAGGGAATATTTTGACATAAACCTCAGATAAGTGAATTTGATGATAATATAAAACCCAATGCCTCTTTTGCAGCCAGAACACATTTTTGCACAAGTGATAGTACATAAAGTAGGGAATTGTTCATTCAATCATTGGCCTTTGTATTAACAATTATACAACAGAGCATAATCTCCACCTGTGTGACGCATGTGTTCGTACGGTAGCTGCACCACCATATGCTGCAATAGGAAATATATGAGATGTTCCACGCAATGTACTGACTGACAACCATCTGCTGTCTCCACTGAATGAGATTTCTTGAACCTATAAGCATAAGAAATGACCTATGGTAAATAGAATTTGTGAAAGTAGAGTAGAGGTAAATCAATTGAGTGTCTCAGACTCTCAGTATTTCTACAATTTCAACATCAAGCCTCATGTAGGGTCCTTGTGGGGAATCAATAAGCAAACATTACTAAGCCGTAGGACCCATATGCAATATAATAATAATATATGAATTATGCACCCAATTTATAAAAATAACAATTCAGTAGCAGGTGCAATCATCATCATGCTTATCCAGGTGATAAATCATATTTGGAGATGACATTTCATTTGTTTGTTCAGTGGAAATAAATGATTTGGATGGTACCCTGGTGCACAGTACATTTAACTGTAAATCTTATGGCAGTTTTGTTTTCATAATGCTATTATTTGGACTTAAACAACGATTTAAGTAAGTCACTCAAATTCATTAAGGTATCCAGATTGGAAGAACAAGATCTCTTTATTTTGATTTAACTGGAATAGGCACCATAGCCTAAAGAAGGGGTCGAAAAAGTATGGCCCGCTGGCTAAAATAAGTCCCGCAATTCACCATGTTTTGAATATAATGTGCAAAACGAGCCACATATATCTCATGCTCGAATTAATATTTGGAAGTATTAATCATTGTGCCATTTGGTACACTTCGAAATAATGAATATATTTCAAATTATGTCATGTTTAACAAAGACACACATAAGTTATTGTACATCCCAGGTTGGAAATACAAGAAATTTAAAGCAATAAATCATTTATATGGTTTTCTATTTCTGAATTTTAATCTAGTAAAGGTGCAGTGACTAATTAGAACCTTGGTTGGGCAGTAGCTATTGATAAATATAAACATTATGACATCATAGTGCACAACAAGTGATGTAATAATCACATTTTACGCCTTGAGGGAAACCATTTCCTTACAGCCCACTTGTTTATACATACAAGAGTATATGGTTGAACTCCATCTATCTTTATCTTTCAAATAGTCCCTAGCACTGTCTGTAATGGTTGCTAAAAACAAACTAGTTCTATAATTTTATTAAATGGAGATCACATTTGTATCTGAAACTGCAAAATGGTTTAATGGTTTAAAGAGGAAGTCTTTCTATTCCATTAAACTGCAGTCAAATAACTCAGGCTTGTGTCTTGGTCAAAACATGAATCAATGGCGACCTCGTGTGGTCAAACTGGCAACTGAACAACACAGGAATGTGGATTCAGTGTTGGAGTTTTTGATGATACTTTGGATTTGGAATAAAAATATCAGACAACTAAAGTGAGAAGCGCAGTCAAATTTTCAACAAAATCTAAGAGAACACCCAATTACACTAATATTTTTGTGCTAAAAAGTGGCTTTCTTGTAGTCAAAGCCAGAATTAATGTCAATTTTTTTTATCTAGAATCAAAAAATCTTTGTTAACTTGGAATTGGGAATGAAGAGCCAGTCGATTTTGTATTATCAAAAGCCCCGACCTCACAGCATCAATTTGACCCAGACTCTTGATTTCAAGTTGATGTAATTTTGACATCCAGATCTTGATAGTCTACTATTTGTTAAAATTAGGTTCAAATAACTAGAATTGAGTGCAAAATGCATACTCACTCTGGCAGAAGTGTCTCCTCGATACAGGGAATAAATATGGTGTACAGCTCCCATTCTAGGAGTCACAGGATGAGGCAAAATCGAAAATACATGAAATGAGTGGCCGCGTTTGTCAGCTGTTGCAATCAATGATCCACAATTACTGAATTTCATACATACAACTGGTTGAGAATGAGCAGGAAAATGAGCAACAATTGCTTTCTCTGGCAAAACCCCATTCACAGATGGCTCTTCAGGTGTAGTTGGTGAGTTGTCATCCTGTTAAAAAACATGAACAACTTGAGATGATATCATAATAAAATACCATTTTCCCTAAAAATTTATTGTGAGGAAGTTGTCCCAGTAGTTAGTTATAGATGAGCCATAGGTAGGCCTATATTATCTCTTGTCTCACTCTTGTCAAATTCGATAGAATTACTGTCATGTTTATAAATGAGTGAAGCTGGACTGTGAAGTCGGAGACGTAGTTTGGCATGTTTTCACTTAAGTTGAAGTATGAGTCGAGTTTTCGTACTGTCTGGAGTCGGGAGTTGGAGTGGAAATTCTGGTGCTCCCGAAGTATGCGAACCAAGATGGCGGACATCGGAATGTAACATGGGTAACAGGTTAAGGTTAGGCGATAAATTTTTCCAATTTTCCTTATTTTAGTCCTATTATCAGTTCGAAGACTAGCCAAGAGCCTCCCGTAGTATTTATACCTAAAATTATGGCCTAACCCTAACCTAGTACACATATTACATTCCGATGTCCGCCATCTTGGTTCGCATACTTCGAGAGCCCCGAAATTCTAAATTACCCAGAGTCCAAATTTCCCCCTTTCAGCAATGATAATAAAAGTATGGCAATTTTTTTGTTATTAAAATTAGATCGAGGGCTGGGGACGAGTCAAAATGTTTTTACCATTGTTTTTTTTAACAAACTGAGTAGGTAGTCAATTGTATATTTCCCAGACTCCATATCCCTGGAGTAAAGGATTGGGATACTATAAAACACAGATAGTGGAAACTAATCTAACACTTTATTTGCTGTATAGCATTAATCAATTATATGGGTAACAATAAAAAATGAGTATGACCTACTGGCTCTAAAATGGGATACCTTAGATGAGACTAAATACTATTTTTGACATACAATTTAATACGTTTAGTGAATGCTTAATACTTCAAACTTCACTATTGTCATATTCCAAAGCGCATGGGTGAATAACCGTGGCCCATGACCTGCGTGGATGCAAGACTATCTAATTTAACCTTGAACCCCGAGTCACACATATGACGTAAAATTAAGAACCCATTAAATCCAGTTTGTTTTCACATTGCAGGAAGAGGAATTCTCATAACCCTCACATAACGATGATGTCATAAATCTATATTCAAAATCAAATGAGCAGTGAAAAAACATTCAAACCTGGGAATTCTCACAGAGCTTCGAAATATCAAGAACAGTGACTAAGCCTGGAACTCCATCAGATAATTCAGGAAGACTACCACCAGATTGATTTCGACTCCTTTGCCCAGTTGTTTCTCGAATTAAAGATGTTGAATGCTCCTCCCCAGTGGTCATGCTAGTTTTAGCAAGCCAATTCACAGTATCTTTCAAATTGACAATGCCTTTTTTGATTGTCTAACGAAAAAACAATGTTACATATAGAATAAAGCAACATTGAAAATCCACTGTTTTTACATAATTAGCTTGCTTTATAAACAGCAGCGCATAGAAAAGGAGTTATCTTTAACTCCCTCAGAGTAAAATTCATAATATATAAATCATTTACATATATATAGCTTGTAAACATAATAGAAACAGGCAAACCTTGGCAGCATTTATTACAGTAGCAGCATATGAGTTGATTCCGTCATCTTCCATACCTCCTGCTGACTGACAACTTGAGAGGAGCTAAATACAAGATAAGAAACATGAACTACAATTGAAAATAGAATTAATTTTGGTAAAGATTACCAATTTTCAAATAGATATGAAAAATATGTTGAAATTCAAATGATAATTATATTCTATAGTCACATGAAAGTTTAGCAAATAGACATACTGTATATCAAAAAGGGTCTAATCTGTAAAGAGAAAAACAGTTTTACAGGTTCAAATTATAAGAAGACCAATACCAATTGTTAAAACTGCTTATATAAGCATGATTTTGTAGCTTGAAAAAAAAAAAAAATTTTTATGTGAAGACATCGTTTGACATATTATCCGGATATAGAAAGATAGCAATATAAAAAAAAAAAAGTATATTAGATTCAAACAATAAATTCATTTGATTTGGACTTGGTAAAATCCTCAAATTAAACCTTTATGACAATATACAATGTAAATGTATTGGATCATAGTTGAGAGCTTGTAATTCGATTACTGGGCAAAGAAAGCCTTAAAATTTCATGAATAAAAATATCACTGTGAACGGTGACTCCATTCCCAATCTTGTGAGCTTCATCATTAAGCAGCACTTCCATAACTTCCTCATTTTTCATTTTGTACTTATTTTTAACACTCACATCAATAAATTTAATTCTTGTTTTTTGAAATATGACTATATTTTAATCTATATCATTATTTTCATAAATCAGATAAACACAACATAAATTTGAATATTGAAAAACGAAAATTAAATCTGGACTGAAGTTGCAATGAATGTTTAGAACGATTTCAAGCAATGAAAAATTATAGGTGGTGATAAATATAATTGATTTTAATTACTTTTATCCCCATCCCTGATTTTGGATTCGAGCTGGTGGCCCTGTTGTTAACAGTAACACTGGACAAGTGTTCTCACTAATTTAAATTAAATACTGACCTTAGCAGGAGAATAAGCAAGCCATTTGTTTCCAACTGCAATAGGATTACTGTTTACACCTGGACTGGGATAGCAGTCTGAAATAAACGATAATGGAAGATTAAATATCCTCAGCATTAATTATTAGCATATAAGTTAGCCTGGACAGAAAATTAATTCAGTTGAATTAGTACCAGCCCGACAATATGTTTTAGTAGTGTGTGTTTGTGAATAATGATAATGAGGATATATTAAGCACAATGCCACAATCACTTGAATACAGGATCATTTGGCTATTTTCATTTATTCCAGTACAAGGGATATTGTGTACAGAATAAGTTTGGAATGTCACTTATTTCTGAAATGAAACCAAATTTCCAATTCCTAACTAGATTCGTCAGAATGACCTTGGCGTTTGGACATTGACCCTAGAAAAATGAACATTTGAACATTTAAAAATATGAAACAATTACTTCTAGTCTTCCAAATTAGGGGCAAATTTAGACGCTGGTGGTAACTCCAACACAAGCATAAAATCTAATACTATGACTAGGATTAAACGGCTAAATAATCTTTGTATAACTTAGTATTGTAATTGAAAGATCTAGTCTCTTTGAGTACAGTATCTCAATTTCAAGCGATGGGTCATGAAGAGCAGTTAAATATCACAAAAAAAACTAGAGCAGTGGTTTTCAACCAGGGTTTCACAAATTTACATTCAAATGTTATTGTTTTAAATATAATCAAATACCTATAGTATGAAGTTAGCCACTATTTTTAGTAAACTTGCAAGACTTAAAGAGCATTTTGATCTGCCAGAATTAGGTTTGCTTTTATGTAGTCTATATTCATGAGCATTTCAATTTTATTGATCAAATGATGTTTGAGAGTAACATTTCCTATTAGAAATCCATCAAATTTCCAATCCATCAAATGACCAATATTTCAATATACATGAAAAACATGTGTAAGATAGTTTGTAAAAGATAGATATTAAATAACATCAAATTGAAAATGAACATAACGATATACCAACCTCTGACTGTGAAAATTAGTTTAAAGTCAAAAGTGTTGAAAGCTTTCATCTCATATCTCAACGTGACAATGATCATTCCTTCCAATCCAGTACTCAGCTCTTCAACATTTTCATCGAATTCTAACTGTCGTATTTTATCCTTTGTTCGCAAAGAGAATATACTCACTGATGTGAAGAGCTGTTTTCTAAAACAATGATTGACTTTTATTAACAGCAGTCATAAATATAATTGATTTCGAACCTCAATATCTTAATAATACAACAGGTGAATATGTCTAACATGGATTAAATACTCGAAGGATTCAAAACAAATGACACTCGATTTTTAAATTGTCGATTATAGGAAAGCAATTCTTTTAAAATAGTTTCATTAAAAGATTGCAGTCTCATAGTTTTTTAATTTCAGAAAAACAGGTAAAAAAAGAGACCAATCAAATCATTGTTTATTCTAAATTTTCTGCATTTTTAATTTCAAACTAAATGAAACAATGCACAATGTGGATTAGACCAGTGGTTCCCAAACTTTTTTGACCATCGCCCCCCTACAGTAGTTTATACAACTTCATCGCCCCCCGGCACTACAAAAAAATGTAAAGTAAAAAACGAATATATTAGAGACCGAATAAGAAAACAAATCATAGTTTATAGTGTTTTTTAATGAGATGAATGAGCTTGGTGTTCTTCAGCGAGTTTTTTATTATAGCACGGCTCAAAACCCTCTTTTCACCATATAAAATAGGTCGGAAATGAAAGAATCCAGGGTTCTACCTCCTCAAAAACCGTCGTGTACTCTTGCCTTATAGCATTTCACTCCTAAAATTTACCTCATTCCACATTAATTTGATGAAAACAAAGTTAATTTTCCCAAAGTTATAATAATGATTTTCGTACATCTCATTTATTCCTACAGCCTGATGACCTGCACCAAATACTTCGCTAAAATTCATCCCCGGTTCCTCATCCTACCACGGCCTTCAGGTCACTCGCCAGTTCATATAATTATTCAGCTAGTTGTTTTTGGATTCATGGACGCGGATGTGGAAGAAGTTGTGACCAACTATCGACTACGGCCCAGGGGTAGGCAAATTTTATGTCGCTCGCGAGGCAAAATTTAGGGTTGCTAGTCTTTTTCGGGTCGCATATATTTTTAAAAAATAAAAACGGAACAGCGCACAAAAACTGCGACAACTCGTGAACTCAACTCAGTCGCCTTATTAAAAAATTATTACAATGACATTTAATGTGACACTGGCTTGTTGCTGCATCACACTCGATAGCTTTACGACGCCAAGATTGGAACATTTTCTAAATGGGCATCACTAATCCCAATTCTTTGCTTGTTCTTTGTCATGTCTCCAATTTCGAAAAAAATTGTTTGCACAAATATGTACTTCCAAACATCTAAGTGAATATTCTCGCATGATTTGTGAAATTTTGATAAAGATTTTATTCAAGAAGATACATTCTTACAAAAATTACGCACTGATGAATCAATCTCTCGAATAGAATATGATTTTTATTTCCTTATAGCATTGCAATATATTCGAATATTTACTGCATGCGCTATTGAACCCCTGTCCTCAGCATCAACTTTTTTTTTCTTCGTGTTTCTATTTGTCTAATTATGATTAAATTGTAGGCTCGTTAAAAGAGTAGCTAGCTGTTCAATTGAATTTTTGGGATTTAATAAAATTTAGTCTAAACGTGTCTTATGATAAAATCTGTTACGTAAAAAATGTAATTTAGTCCTCGAGCGTAGATTATGAATAAAAAAATAAATTCATCGTCAAAACCGCCGTTTGGATGTTTCCCCGGGCATAGACTCCCCTTGTTTACATCGTGACATTGGCCAATCAGCAAGATGCAAAAAAAAACGTAACAATACCCCCTTTCGCATCCGCTCAGACACACCAACTCAGACAGACTTTCAGGCGTGGTCGTGAACATTCCTCATTTTCGCGTTTTTGAATTATATTCGTTAGTTTTTAGTTGTTTTTCGGAAATTTAAATATAAATCATATAAGTCAATGAATACTTTGTTTTCCTATGAGTTTCAGTTCAAATACAGTAATCAAAAATTGGTGTGAAAATAGCTGTGATAGACTATGGGCTAAAATTCTTTATCGGTACTTTTAAAAAACAGCTTGTTGAATGGTATGAATTAGAATGATAGTTGGAAACAAATACACTATTTTACAACCAACAACTCGCGAAACCACTCTTAGAATAAGCACCGAAAATTTTAAAATGGTAAAGTATAAGAAGAATTTTCCGCGGTCAAAGGTCGGAGATAGGTCTATTCAGTGAATCGTCCCGTGCCAGATTTTTCTACTCCGGCCGTATTTTGCCGACCACTGGGATACGCAAACTACCGTACCTTACTGCGGAGACGAGTCCAGCAATCCTTTCGCGTGTGATATTAGACCACGTGAGTTGGGCCTACGAATGCACACAGAGTACAGAATTAAGTGCACGATGCGCCGAGAAAAAACAGGTTACGCGAAATCGCCCCCCTATCGCCCCCTTCGACTTTTTCGCCCCCCTCTGTATCGTTTTCGCCCACCGGGGGGCGATATCGCCACTTTGGGAATCACTGGATTAGACTACCAGATATGCTTTTCGTTAGACATGATCTAATACAGAATAAATTTCATATTTGATATTCAAAGATATTATTTTAGAATGTATTATGAAATGAAGGTTACCAGGTTATATATTTGTATAGTTAGTTATACAGTACTTGGCCTCAGCAGAACTTCGAAAAGGCAAATAGAAGGTTGCAGTGGCCAGTGGCAGTGAATACAAATTTATGTTTGCAGTGATGTAGACTATTGTTCATGGGCATAGGCATCATCAAGCTACCAGCTTGAGTATTAAATATTGGAAGTTTGAGGCGCATTAATCAGTATTCATCAAGTCACCTCCTGAACTAACCTGTCAGCAGCCATACAAACAGCTAGCAAAGGACGAGATATTGTGTATTCATCATGCTTTTTATCACCTATAATTAAAACAGCAGTTATGTTTATCTTATAAATTACGGGTAAAATGGGTGAAAAGCATTCAACTGATTCAGAATATTAATTACAGCATCCATCTCGATGCTTTCTCACAGCTCCAAATTTCAAATTCCAACTCCAACATCAAATTTAATAAACGTCTCCTGATCCAAATTGAAACAGAATTTGTCTTCAACTTCAGATTGGAGGAAGTTTTGACTCTGACTCCAGTATTCAACTATGACAAATCAAATTTAAATAATAAAAACTTTGGAGTATATGAGACTTTTATAACTGTTTGTTGAGAGCGCTTATTCAACTCGATGTTTTGTGAGTTTTCGGACAGAAATTTCAACCTCCATTATAATCATCGGAAGCCTTAAATTCAAACTCTGTCAAATTTAGAATTTGAACTCTTTCTTCGATCAGATACAGCTCCAGTTCTCAGTCCAATAACAAAATAATATGCCAGTTTACTTCACCAACTCAAGCTGATCAGAATATTGAAAATTGAAATGCGTTGTACACTAGAATTTTAAAATACCTCTGTGACCCTCTCTCTAGTTTAGACAAAGCTTGTTACACTTATAAAGCCATCAAATTAATTAATAACATATATAGGATTCACAAACATACTTGAACTGCTTGGTGGAGGAACTAGACAAGCTGTCTTCACAGGACCTTCACGCAAAGATAAGATTTCTTGTACTTCACCATTTTCCTGGGATCAAAAGGAGTTTTTTAACAAAATTATTGAAGAATATTACACATGTTGAAAGTATTGGACTGTCCAAAATTGTCTGAACAGCATATCTGACAAATTGACTCTAAGGCTCAAAATACAATCAGAGAGTATTTAAATTTGTCGAATATTCAAATACAAAAGAATTCTTTCAATTAAATTTTAGTTTATTTTTTTTAGTCTTTCCTTCAGCCTGGAAAAGTTACCAAGACAGTACACCAAAATGCAACTGCTTATGTTAGTACTTTTACAACAATCAATTTGTCAATCTATCATGCTTGGAATATAAAATTTCCTCAAACGCTATAGATATGCTGCAGATTTGAAATCATATTTTGGAAATTCGTTCAGTTACTGGATTTATTAATTAGAATACTGATGACTTTTATGATCATCCCTGAACAAAAGGCATCTTTTAAATCAAACTTACACATATTATCCATGCTTGTACTCCATTTTTATATCCCAGGATCAACAGCAAAGAATCAACAACATCATTTCTACTCCCATTTGTAAAACCGTCAAATTCAGGATCCAGAGCATTCTTATAATCAAATAATCTTGCCCACAGAACAGTTTCTTTTTCTTCTGCTTGAGATGTATTAGAATATACCTGTTGAATATAAGAGAGTACAACATTAAGAATACAGCTGAATATATTACCTTAATTAAGGAAAAGAATTTTGTAGGATGGGATCTTTCATATTTATCCGAGGCAGAGAAAAGTTGATAAGACGACTTGATCATATTATCGTGAACAACGGCCTCTCGTACGGTTACCAGTTCATTTCAGGTATGAGAATGAATAACCATTTATTCGTTGCAGATGTATGGACTTGTGTAGAAAGACGACACCATATATATGAAACTCGCTACAACAACAAAGAAGAGTCTAGAAATCCTATCGCAAATGATTTTCCCCCACAGGATTCTACCTGTGAATCAGTGCAGGGTAATCAGAGGTGCAAGAGAACTTCAACTTATTTTCCCAACTGTAAACTTATGGTGAATTATATCCTCTGGAGAAGTGCAAGTTTCTATGTTAGATATTGAATAGGCCTACTCGCTCTACTGGCCAATATTGATATATAAACCAGTAATTTAGACAGTTTTACTATCTTTGAGAACCTTAATCGCATGAACATATTTGGTTAAAAACTCTAGCTCCTCGTTCTGTTATCAACCAATTCCTATATCACACATGTTAAGATAGATAAAGCAGACTTATCTTTCTATGCAAAGCTCCTGTCATAGTGATAAGTAATGTACAAGCAGATACTATACCGTATATAAATATGGAAATCTTGTAGAATATAACACTTACCTGTCCAATATCATGAAAAAAATTCACCATGCTTTCCATGTAAGAACTGTCTCTGAAAAAAAGAGTAAAATAAAATTAAATCCATGCAATCCCCAAATCGAACATGTTCATGAAGTGTATTGGTTGCTCAAGGGTAAGTTGATTGAATTAGAACTTGATGAATATACGTACTTCATTGGTTGTGCTTGCACAACATGACCTGAAGGCGCGTCTCTTCGACGTCTTGAATTCATCGTTTCAAAATTTGTAATACCACCAGACATGTCTTTATTGAACTTCTAAAAATATAATAAAAGCAATTCACCATTTACTGTGTAAAAAAAATGAAGTAGAAGTTAGCAAGGTTTTTGAAGGTGATTCATCACAAGTTACAGTATAACCTATGTTCAACATATAATGGTATTTAAGTAGGTTCGGCAATCGAAAATCCATCGCATAAAACATTTCGAATATGAATGGGAAAAAATATTCTGTTATGTAGATGAAAGAATAATCGGTCAGTTTCACTTCTCAAACAAAAAAATTATTCTCGGTATAAAAATATCACATTCTCAAGTTCAGAGAAAGTATAAATAAGTATAGAAAGTGTTCTTTGTTTTCCGATTGAATGAACATGACCTTGAAAAAATGAAGAATTATTGTATGTTACATTTAGGGCTAGGCATTTTGAATCGAATATTCTAATGAAATGGAATAGTTAATTATTCAAATCTGTTCAGACAAAAATTTAGAATCACCGCCATCTTGTATTTTATTGTTTGTCAAATGTTGAGGCGATCCGTCAATTTTTTTATTGAAGCATATTTTCAAAATATAATTCCTACATATGACTCTTTTCTTCCTAGTGAGTTATTGATTAAACATGTTTCTTATTGTGTGAACATGAAACATAATTTCTAAATAAACTTGCATTAAAAATTAATTCAATATACCTTTGAATAACATAGCTGGAATAATTGGTTGTTGTGTGAATTGTATCTGATACATTAGCATTTTAATTTTGCTATCAGTTTCTAAGAAAAAAATTTAACATATTTTTGAGTAATAATATAATAATATTACAACATTAAAAAAGTGACTATCTGAAACTTAAAACATGCATTTCCAAATCGCCTATGCACGAAAACAACGGTGATAGAAATACTTGCATTTTAAACAGATTCCAACTAAAAAAATATATCTAATTATGTCAATCCAAAAAAATATCCTGATTATTTATTATTATTATTATTATGCACTTTAACAATACACGCACAACTATAAAAATGTCCCAACAAGATTTCCCAACTCAGGTAAATATACATATAACATATACCTGAGCTGCAAATTCAAATTAATCTCATTAAAATATAATCAAGTAATAACGAACATTCAAGCCTAAGCTCTGAATAACACACCATGAATAGTATGAAAAAATTTGAGTACCGTTTGACAGGTTCTCCATTTTACAAATCATTTTGACAATTAAACCCTTCGATGTTATTTTAGAAACAGATGGAAATTTTGAAACGAAATAAAATAGAAAAAAGCGACATATTGAAAATTTAAAGTGAGAAATTAAAAATAATATATGAATGCATAAATTCTCGAAAAAAAGAATACAATTCTTCTCCTGATACAGAACATAAGCATTAATTAATTCTGTAATGATCTAAGACAGTATGAAGTTATAAAGCTGCTGGATAAAAACATACAGAATATGGTACAACAAGTATTGGTCAATAACTTATTCAGTTACTGAAGCAGAGGCCAGGTGTTTTACACATAATTGCGGATTTGTGAAAGCTGTAATGTAGAAAAGGGTTTCAAAATATTTAAGAATTTTCATACAACCTACTGGTAAGTATATTATTATTATCAACTTTTCCCCGATAAAATATAAAGGTTGTATAATTATGTCACATATAATTTATTATTCTAATTCCACGGATCCGGCTTATAAAGTACAATTCTGTACTATCTTTACCATCATGCAAGAAATATATCTTGACAGATCAAACACATGATGAGCAAACGTCTAATTCATCCACACTGGATCTGCTGATTTACCAATATGTCATTAAAAGTGTGCCTCTATCTAAGATGTCAACATAATATATGACCTAGTATTCTGGATTGCAAATATTTAAAATTGATTGAATAAAAGGATAGTAATTTGGTTTTGAATATAGCCATCTTTTTTAAATATCATTATTTCTGATTCATATGAAAATTAATATTTTTTTCTGTAAAACATCATATTTTTTCTGCTAAATCACCATAGTCTGTAATAATATCAAGAAAAAAAAACAGTTAAAATTGGGTAGACATGGATGCTAGAAATTGTTGAATAATAAAATTCTGAAGAACTGCAGCAGATGACTTGATAGTGCAAGCAAATGACAAATGACAAAAGTGATCATTTCAGTGAATAAGCATACTGAAACATTGTCATATCATTCAGACATTTTTTTTTTCATATTCAGCTTGCCATCCAATTTTCAAGCTGCCTGAGTTCTGCTTCATCATCTTTCACTTTTGCCACTGGAGTAGGTAGATCCGATACTGGGACATCAGGAAGTTCATTTGTTGCTGCACCCACATTCAGCAATTCTCTGTCTAGATCTTCCTGCTCTAATTCCTCAAGTTCAGCCATTAGATCATCTTCATCAATGTCTGTGCCAAATCCTACAGGACCTGACAATGCGTCACTTATTTCTTGAGCAACTTGTTGTTGCTCTTCAATGTCATCCATAACCTCATGAACATCATCTGCTGACATGTTTCCATGAACCTGTTTCAATGCTTTTGCGCCATATTGCATGTTTTTGAAAGTTTGTGCATTTGCTTGTGCATCCTGCAACGCTTCCACTTGAAACTCAATATTTGATAAAGTCCCATCGACCTGACCAAGTTGTTTTTCAAATCTCTTCTTTCTTTTAAGTGCTGTTAAGGCTAGCTTTTTATTTTTAGTGCCATGTCTTTTGGCGGTAGCAAGTTCATCTTGAATCTTTTTCTCCAAGTATTCTGATTTTTTCTCAAGCATTTCCTGTGTTTCTTTCAATTTCTGGATCGCTTCCTCTCGTGTTGGCTGTTTACTTTTACCTCCTCCAAATAACTTTGCTAATCCACTCATTTTTTCGCAAAACTATTCTTCCAGTAAATAAGTGCGTTTTCACTGTGCAGATATAGTTCAGGCAGACAACAATTACCGTACAATTGCACCACAAGGACGACAAAACAAAGCGATTTTTCCTGAAGCTCATCAGCTGACAAAAACAAAACAAACTTGTCGGCGGTCAACCATGTAAGAGTTGAAAGGTCATATTGCGACGCCCACTAAATATTATATTTGTCCAGTCTTGCCATTCAGTAATCAGTATTTACTTATAATAAGTATAAGTATATAAGTATAAGTTTACCGATCTTAAGATCGGTAAGTATGTTGATAGGTATTTGTCTGTGTATGTCTGTTTGTCTGTATGTTAGATGCACGCGATATCTCACGGAAGCGAGGTTGAATCTGCTTCAAATTTTGCATGTGCATTCGTTATAGCTCGGATCAGAAGCCTATTGGATGGATTATGTCTTATAGTTAGCGAGTTATTAATTAATTAGTGATGGGACACACAGTGTCACTATGGAGTAAGACCACTGTTTTGGGAGATCCCCTAACCTTCGATCGATAAGTCTTCGGTTTCTAACCGATATTCTAGTTTATTTCTTCATCATGCAGAAAGTACGAACTATACACAAATTAAAGGAAATGTTAAAAAAAATGCATTATATGGTGAGAGAAGACGCCGAAAACAATTTCTTTTAACTGTAAATTATATGAGCTCTTTTTATAAACTACAAGTACGGGAACAGAGTACTGGCTGTTAGCGCACGCACCGCTGCCCAACTAGGGTTGCCAACCGTCCTTAATTGAGTTTTTCTATCCTTGTTATGTTCTTTATTATTATTTATTAAGTTTGTAAATTACGCATTTCGTCCATTATTTCTAACATCGCTATCCCTATAAGAGCTGCCAAATATTTAGAATTAGATTAAAATATTGGTTGATTACTGTACAGTGCAGTTTACAATAAACAATCGTGTGCCATATGCGTTCGTTACAAACGGATTTAAGGATCCGGAAGTGCGACTCAGAAGTTAATCAAGCTCGTTTGAGTTGTTGGTAGTGAGGAAATAAGAGGGCACGTGCTCCTTGCGCTAAGAGGATATGAAGCGGATAATTCAAGAAATGAGTAAAAATACCGATACAAACAAAACTGAACACCAACTTCCTACAAATGTAGATTCCGTTGTGACTTGCAAAACGATTGTCGACTATAGATCGTTTTTCAATTCAGCAATAACATACTAAAAATAGGTCTTGCAGGGAATTCGCTTCCGAAATGTCAGAAATTGTTGAATATAGTCAATTTATTTTTCCCTCAGTAAAAAATAGCATACGGAATTAAAATATATAAAAATTTAACACGGTTATACTTAGAGAACCGATACCACTTTTGCCGCCGTTACCGATATAAATGAAAATATGCCGATACCGACGAGGCGATATTTCAAAAAACCGATATTGCCGATATTCCGATACTATTTGATTATTACCTCGTGTACAGATGCATTACCTTAATCAATTCTGATGCATTGTGCATCGACTCTAGTAATCTCGCTGTTCAATTAGAAAATTCATACGATCCGGTTACTATGGATGGTAAAGTGAATAAATATTCACTTATCATATCAAACTGATATATTGCGTTGCGTGCGCAGGAATTTGTGCCAATATAACGTCGTATTTTGTATTTCACACATTGGCTAATCTACTAATCTTCGATTGATATATTTCATCATAACTTCCCTGTAATATTACAAATGTCAATATAAACATTTGGCAGCGAAAATAGCAAATTTAGTTGAGCTAGTTTGGCTTAATAATAACTAAAAACAAGTCAGAATCAAGTTTTAGTTTCTACTCGCGGAGGAGAAATACCGCAAATGTCATGCCGCAAAAAAATAATTTCAAGATTCGTTCTCTAACATATTCTTAAACATTCGTAATCAGATTTAAAAGCAGAATATATCGGAAGTATCGGTCTACATTTAGCCGACACTAATACAAATACCGATACCAAAAAAATGGTCGATATTGCAAATAACTAACACCGATGGCGATACATTAATAAATCTTTAGTTATAATGGGTGAGGGAAAACGCGGGGACCCAATACTGGTTATAGAGCAGCCACACCCAAGGTTCTAATATCTAATAAGGTCAGGAACCAACAACGGCCATTAGTATTTATTAAACTAAACGGCAGACTTGCTCTGAACATAGATGTCCTTTTCCATGAAATCGCATTATTTAAAAAAAATTATTATTCAAAGTTCGAATTCACAATTGTGTAAATAATATCATCAAGATATATCATTAGTGCTTCGGCCCCGGGGACATCGGAGTACATAAAGATTAGACAACAGTTGCTGAAGTCGGCTCATCTGAGATTAGCCGTGGAAACAAACGGAAAGCAATAGTTCAGATTGATCCGCAGAGGCTGTAATGAAGCCTTGACAAGTAAGTCAAAGAATTGCCGTCCTGTGTGTTTGTCCTTTGTTTTGTATTTTTTTTTTATATGGAAGTGTTCAAAATAAATTATTTATTTATATTAAAATATTTGACGAAATAATATCGCATTAATTTTTAGATCATGTTGAATGAGTTCCGAATTTCTTGGCTATTGCTAATAAGTAAACGGCTGCCACACACTTGTAAGTTTACAAGTATATGACTGACTTTGGTCAATTATCCCATATGTTAGGTTGACGAGACGATGTGGCAATAAATATATATATTAATAATAATATTTAAACCATCCTTTTCAGATTTTCTCCCATATGATACCTATACATAACATATAAATACCATTGTATGCAACAGTGAATTACTGTAAAAGAAATTTTCAATTTTTCATCTAAATTTATCCGCGTAGAATTAGTATTTAATTTAGTTATTGTTTACATTTTGAGGTTTTATATTCAGTTAACCATGGTTTTATGTCCTTTATGGCTTTTCAGTTACGTTGATCTCGGCCTATTACAGTATTGGATGAATTGAGTCTATAATTCAGTTTTCAAAAGGGAAATACTCTTGGTTTCAGAGGATACTGTATACTGGTTTATAAAATATCAACATATTCAATGCTACCTGACACGAAAGACATATCTAAGAGGGAGGCTCATAATGGCTGTGCCAGTGCGGAATTGCTCCTGAAAGAATTGGATGTTGAGGACTTGCCAAGTTCTGTTTTTGTGTGTGATGTTCCGAATATGGTGTTCTGTGAAGAAGACGTTAAGGTATGCTTGTACATTAAATACTTTATTGGCTATCTGTACATTGCAATATTGGGTCTGGTATAGTTTAGCTGTTAGTACCACAGCCACTTCTAGTTGGCCTGGCTCAACAATTTTTACATATGTCAATCCTAACCCCAACCTGACTACGTCACCGAAAAATTACGTCATTCCGACGTCACAGTGGCGTAATAAGGCTCACCGAAGTATGCGGATGGTCGTCCAAAACGTGCAGACGATAACAGAAAATCGAGCAAGCTATTTCTCTCGTTTTCTCGTCGCAACGATCACGATAGGAGAGAGATCGCCAGCTTTAGCAAGTTCTTATCGGCGGCGCAGATGCCATTTCGAGCGATCATAATTATACTTTGGCAACCCCTATGACGTGATGGTGACGTCAGAGTGACGTAATTTTTGGATGGCATAGTCAGGTGGGGGTTAGGAATAACATATGCAAAAATTGTTATGCTACGCCCACTGGAAGTACTTGTGGTACTAAACTATACTAGACCCGCAATATCTTCTTGATGCAGAACAGTCTGACAGTAAATTATATATACCGTAATATTTGATATAACTTTAGGCAGTTAGGTGAGTGAACACTTACCACTTGTATTTTCGCAATACCTTCCATATTCTATTATTGTATTATGTACGTTCCAAACCTTATCTAAGGTTTTGTTTGCTCTCTCTGATTTCATAATCAGGTTTGATTTATCCGTTTTTATCAATCATTTTATTGTTATGCTGATTATGGAGTCGAAATAAACTTATACTTATTTGCTGATTTGTTATTCTAAGTACAGACTGACAGAACATTTCCGTAGCATACCGGTACTGTAGCGTAGCCTAGGACATGCAGAAATGGCATAACTCAGTAGCCATATAGCATAGGCTCGGTGCTGTGGAGCATCATCTGTTTATGCTAAGCATTAGTAATATGCTTGCCACCTCTACCCTGCAGTAAAACATATGTGCGAGAGAATTGCTGGACTCCTTTCCGCCATAGTGTGGTTCGCACAACGGCTGGCCGCTCACGTCTTCCTCCGCCATCTAAAACAAGCGGCTGTGGTTTGTCATATGATTAAGACTCATCGATATTCCTCTTCCCCGGGATAAATATGTAAATCCTATCCTGCAGTGGCCAGGTATTGACTTCATGATGGAGGAAGCCATAATAATCACTCTACAAAGGTGGGGGGTCCATTAACCCCCTCGCACATAATTATCCCCACAGGATTCGAACACATGGGATAACCAACCTCAACATGTTAATCAACCTCAACATTCTGATGCTGCCACAAATACTGTAATAGGAAATATTATGCCATGTATGAGTTTTTCATCATTTCCAGTTCAATGTAAAATTATTATAATAAGCTGATTTTGCTGTTTGCTCCATTTTCATGAGGTTGAGTCAAATTATGATTAAGTTGACTTGACTCTTCATAATGTCTGATTGTGGAAATCATAAAACTAGTTTCTGAAGCTGAATAAAAAATATATGGTTTTACATAATTTGCTATATCAGTACAGCAGTATAAATATTTCTGCATCATTTCCATAGTTTGTCAACTTGATTTTACTAAAGGTATTTTTGAATTTATACTTCCTGAAACTATTTTTATGGAAATTTTTGTTTAATTTTTACAGGAAGAATTTCAGAATCTATTCAGTCATTTGAATCCAACAAACTTTATCTATCTCCAAAATTTTCGACGAGTTAAAGTCTATTTTGAATCATCTATGAATGCCGCACAGGCACGAGTCTCATTGCATGGATATGAATATAGGAATCAAACAATTAAAATATATTTTGCTCAGGTGTTGATTATATTTATTTTTTGTTTTGTGGTAATCTGTTTGCTATTGTGATGACCAAGTGGTTACCATGACGAACTCGCCAGCTCAGATTCGAGCCTTTATAGTTTATGTGTTAGTCCGACTCTATCTCTTTATCAAGACGTGCCAAACTAGGCTTGCTTTTGAGATATTAAAAATATTGAGATATTTCAACCGATGCACTTCTCTGGAGTGACTGCATGTAAACAAGCTGTCTGAAACACCCGCACTACAATTGATTAGTATGCATTGTGCATCATAATGTAGTAGCAGTAATGTGTTGTATAGATTTTGCACTGTGGTTTTAAAGAATAAGTGATGTTGTGTTTTCCATCAGTATTCTTGAGTGGTTCTGATATAGGCTATAACTAATCTTGTTTACTAGTAAAAATGGCTGCAATGTATACCAAAACCCTTAAAACTGCCAATATCTAGATTCAGTCAAGTTCAGATGATGAGTCATCAGACAGTCTTCTTCCTCCAAAACCTGATCGATTGTTTTTAATTTCACCACCTGCATCCCCGCCAGTTGGCTGGGAACCAATACCAGAAAGTGAACCTGTTATTAATTACCATCTTTTATCAGCTATTGCTTCCCTTCAACCTGGTAAGACAATTTCATAATTGACTTAATGAATGACAATGAATAAAGGATTTAATGCATAAATGTCAGTGAGGCTTTTGTTATTTAAACAATGCCTAACATGGGGATACTAATTCAGCTATTTAGTAAAATTTAGATTTACTTGTACTTAAAAACAATTGAAATAACTTAAATAATGCTCAACATTTTTCACACAGGTGAGAGCCATGAAATTCACCCAGGAACTTTGTCAACACCAAGCGTAGTTGTCCATACTTGTGAAGAGGATGAAGCAGGAAGTTCTGTGGGGCAGCCTAAATTAAAAATACAACAAACCAGACGACCTGATGCTCCCAGTTAACCACAAAATAATAATATTTAAGAATAAAAGCATGTATGAAAAAAACACTTGAATCTACTCAGATTTACGATCATTGTCTATTGTAATCTGGGCATAACGTGATCATCTATCGTGTATCGGCAACTTGTAAATATTGAAGCAGAGCAAATTTCTTATATACTACGTTTTATTTCTATCATTCATTTATTTTTGCACCAATGCACTGTGAAGCTAAGTCCAAATCAAACACCAATGATATACAAGTTATTGTCAATACTTTCAAATCAGCGCTGAACAGGTTGGACTTGGCTTGTACTGTGTACCTGCATTTTCAACATTTTACACAATTTATTAACGTCAATAAATTCCTGGTTACACCACGCATGGTTTGTACCGAGTAATATTAATCTTTTTTATTTTGTGCACTTTTAACGTTTTTGCTTTGTAGCATACAATCAACTCTCGCCTCCAGACAAAAATACATTGTTGTGGAAAGTGAAAAAACCTTCGAGATCTCTTAATTAGGGGGCTGGAACATTGAAGGTAGAACCATCCTTGATAATCTTGATCGGAGGAGGCATACGCATCGGTTAACAAGATATATCAAGAAGTTTACTCAATACAAGGATGTCTTGGTCAATGACTAGTTGACTACACATAACCACCGGCATATATTTCATATCTGCCTGGACTTGTTGCGTGTGCCCATTTCTCAACAAGAATCACAAACCCTTACACCAACACTATGATCGGGGGCGAAGTAGTGGAATTTACTAAATTTAATTAATGAAGGTTTCATCATGTTACATTTCCGCAGTGTTTGGACGACCACACGTTTCACCATATAACTGGCGTGATTAGGCTTCATAGGATAGAATTTACCTATTTATCCCGCCGGAGAGGAAAGTCGATTATTCAGTCAGTTATTTGTTCTCGGAAGTATGGACTTGATGGCAGAGGAAGCCGTAACCGAGGGCGTAAAGCAGGGGTCGGCAACCTACGGCCCGCGGAGCAATATAATCAGGCCCGCGACGCTTCACTGAATCATAGTAACAAAACAGCTGTTTTGACAATTATATTCATTACGTAACAGAATTTATTCTGAGACACGTGTAGACTAAATTATATTATAACCTAACAAGTATATAATTCCCAATTACTCGTTGAATGAGCCTATATTTTAATTATAATTGGACAAATGGCAACAAAACGCAGAAAAGTTGATGCTAAGTGCAATTGGTTTAATGGCGCAGAAAATATTCAAATGGTCCGTCTTCGGGCGTAGCTAAAAATTAAACTTCTGATCTGTGTGAAAAAATGTGATTCATCGGCCATCCGTTCGGTTTTTATCTTTCTAAAAATATGTGCGGCCCGCCAATGACTTGCCACTATTATTTTGGCCCGCGAGCGACAAAAGGTTGCCGACCCCTGGCGTAAAGAGTGGCGCATTCTCGAAAATTCAGAATTATCATAAAACTTGTTTTGAATATGAATTGCAGCTGACCAAAATGTCTCCAAATGCTTGTTGAAGATCACCAAGAATCCACATCCACATGAAACATAACATAATCAATTTATTTATTAATTGATTTGTTAATAGCCTTACGTTCTTTGTATTGTCGAGGGGCGGTTAGATAGCGATGTGAAGGGGCAATGATACTGTACAGCAGTGGTCGTCAAACTTTTTGAGACGCGACCCCATTTCAAAAATTATGACGTATGATAAGCTTGTGACTCCTAGGTATAGCAAAGAAAAAATATTTCAAACCACTAAAAACTAATCACAGTAAATCTCATTCCCAAAAACTCTATCACACGCTTTGGATTTCGTGTTACAATTTAATATTGCCGTCACACAATAGCCTTATTATACAAGATATCACTGTAATTCAGAATACCCAAACTTGCTATGTAGTGCTAGTCAGCTCAGTTTAGAATGCACGCAATAGAATAATGAAAAATATAACAAGAATACAACGCCGGACACTCGGCGACCCCCGAAATATTCAAGGCGACCCAACTTGGGGTCGCGACCCACACTTTGGTGACCACTGCTGTACAGTGTACATCAAAGTTTGAATACCACTGATCTGAATAATAGCTAACCAATCAGTCATTCAAACCCAAACGGGCGAGAAAGCCGTAACTGGCCAGTGATCACATGAACCAACCACCCTTCGACAAGTTTACTAAATATCTCGCGAATATTTATACAACACAGGATCTGAAACAGCAAATTCATACGATGTAATTAATGATGTAGTACAAAACATATTCCTAACATTTTACAGGGTTCGCCAATAACGGTAATATTTACGGAACAAATTTATATACACTCATATTGCATGCTCCACAAAAATAATAGGAAAGGCTAAAATATTTATAGAAATTCTATGAAACACAATCCAATAACCTAATTGCGGTAACTGCCTCAGCTCTTCAGATACAAAGCAACAACTATTCCTCCTACATATCGCCAAAAGGTGGGCAAAATTAAATAATTTTATCGAATCGAATGTTTTTAATATATACACAACAGGCGCCCAGAACGCTTGACTTTATAATGCTGGCAAGCTACATTTCCGCCCGCTCTCTTTTTCACAAGAACGGATTCTTACCGTCCTTGATCTTCCTCATCACCGCTTGTAAACTACCCGTCCCAAATTTGGGCTAATGATATTATCATTACTGACACCGAAAGACTATAGTTGACCTTCTTCTTATGATTTTACTTTTCTATTGTCTCCCTATTATTTTCATATTGAATAAAAAGTCGTCACTGCAAGAATCCTGAATGTTATTTTGATTAAATAAATCGGCGATAATGGCAATTCTGGGTAAAATATACGAGAAATTTCACAGAATAACTCGCTATCGTGTTTCACGTTTTTAAATTCAAGAAGCGGTGTAGGCACTCTATGTAAAACTAAGAATTGGAGCGATACCCAAACAAGGCTTCTCAAATTTGTAGTTCTTGTCTGTTGAAGGACTAATTCTCGCGGAATTCAAGTGATCGGTTTAGTGACGCGCTATCTCCGGGTCTAAGCAAGAGGTATAGGTCACGTGATACTGGTATGACATTCTAATATTTGAGAGAATCACATGAAAAGCCTATTGTTACGTAACACTGTGTCGACACGGCTCCCCGTTTCTCGGTTGGCGATCCAAGTTCGCCCTTCCAAAAATTATGGAAAGTATTTGCCCCGACTATGACATAACGGAGACACATATGTGTGTATTCTCTGCATGATTGCAGGTTATTAGTAGGAAGAAAAACAACAAAACTCAATTAAAAAGAACAATGTGCATTATGTAAAGAAGGTGATTGTAGGAAATGAGAGTTGCAAAAAAAAGAAGATGTATTGAGGCCTCTGTACATTTTAAACGTAAACTTAAGCCAAACGTAATCATAATTTTACTGTCTGGTACTGTAAAAATATTAACTATTCATAACCACATTAGGGTTGTTCTACCAACTTACTAGAAATCTATTTACAAAAATAATTAACGGTCAGCGAAAAATGAATCCAGTGGTTAAGCAATTAACTAAAAGAATGACATTGAACCAGCTATTTGGCAAGCAAGCAAATGTCGTGTTGTCACTAAGAACATAAACTAGAAAAAAGCAATGCCGATTCATACATGGCCCAAAGATGGAAAGAAGAACAAATGGATGGGCGAGAAAAAACTGATATAGAAAAAAATCAGAAACAACTTCAATGAACATGAAACATCTCATTTAGATAAAGTTTTCTTCAGTAAAGATGCAATGTCACTGCTGTCATCTGAATATAATAGAAATATAATATAAACTTAAGCACTCGTTAATCCTGACCAAATCATCAAAGTATAGCTATAATTCCGGAGGCCGCAATATACTTCATCTTACAGTATCAGACGACAGATATGTATGAAAATGTATACAAGCATTATATTAAAATATTCCAACATCCCTAATGTTCATGGGATGTGTGTCCTTCATTGCTAATTTTGATTCCTTTTTACCAATATGAAACTTGTATCCATCTCAGAATATTGATACTCAAAACGGTGCAATAATGGCCATTATTGATATTATATAATATATTGCTTTGTCACTGTACTTGAGATCATATATACTGTACCCGAATTCGATGTCATTTGCTGCTCTAATTTTAATTTATTTTCAGCCATTTTTAGCATTCCTTCTTCAATAGTATCTTTACTTATGAGTTTCATAATTTTTACATTCCTAAATAATAAATAGATTGTTAAAAACTGTCAGAAAATCACTTTAGTAAATTGTAATGAAAAGTTGAATATCATCTTTCATAAAACATAATGAAATGGAGTCAAATTGAGACCAACCTAAACAAAAGAAGGTTCGCCCATCTTGTGCTAATGAATATATTTTCCTGCCTCATATAGAATGTTCCACGCCATGGATTACCAAAATTAAATAATTTACCATTCTAAATATTATACATTATAGAATAATATCGTAGAATATGAAATATTGGACATATTTTAAATCAGGCCACGTTCAACAGAAAATTATGTGTGAATTAATGTGAATTAGCAATGCAGAGTAGCAGAGATGTATACCGTACATATTTTTCGCAGTGCCACAAGTACATAAAGTCCATTTTGTTATTGTTACCTGCCGATTTTGATTGAGGTACTAATTAGAGATGTATCGGGTATCGGTATCGGCAATATCGGTCATTTTTTCGGTATCGGCCATGTATCGGTATCGGTTAAATCAAGGCCGATATTTCCGATATATTTATCTTTTTGATATGGTCCAGAATATTTTAAAAGATAAGTTGGAATACTACTTTTTAATTTATTTTTTGTCTGGAGAGATCGTGAGCTATGAGCCATACATGTCCCCACCCCCGCGAGAGAATAGGATTCACGTGTTTTTAGCTATTCATCAGCCAAACTAGCTCAACTAATTTGGCTAATTTCGCTGTCAAATTTTAATATTGACATTTTTAATATTACATAGTAATTATGAAGAAATATATCAACACAGCACATAACAAAAAGCAACTAGGCGCCCAGTTTCAAATCATACAGTGGAATTGGGGTCCTTATCAACGGCACATGGACTTTTGGCACGGGTATAAGTTCTGACTGTTTGTCGTCAAGTACGAGTGTCATTTAGTCCGTCGACATCGATAAACTAAATTCCGAAATTCAAAATATATGATAGCAATTGTAAAATATTTTATATTATAAAATAGTAAAGTAAAAAAACATCCTCGACGGTTATAGGTAGGCCTTCTTTTTGTCGGTGCTGATTGATATACTTTCATTTTGGCTTTGACTTATTGCGTCGACGATTACGATTAGCCACGAAATAAAATATTTGTAAAATGCTTTTAATCTGAACGTAGGACGGCGGCGCTAGAATGTGTGGGTGATATTCGATATTCTTTTAAACACGAATAACGATATTCGAAGGTCGCGATATTCATATTAAGTTTAAATGGGACATCCGGGCATAATGAGTTTTCTAATTGAACACCGAGATTACTAGCGTTACTGTATAATGTATCTTAATCAGTTGAAGCAAACACCAAACATTAATTTCATATTATGTGATATATCTTTTTTTTCGACCTGAAATAATGTGTACTATGAACAACGCTCAAAGACCATTGTTTTAACCCGTCTGCCCTACACAGCACACCTAATTAAGTAATAATTACATAGTATCGGTATCGGAATATCGGTAATATCGGCCTTTTTGTAGTATCGGCGTATCGGTATCGGCGTTTTTGGCTGGTATCGGATCGGTATCGGTATCGGCGACAAAAGTGGTATCGGTACATCTCTAGTACTAATATGACAATTGTACACATCTTATTACCACATACATACAAACTTGCCTAAACGAATGTGCCATGTGTGTTAATTAACTAATGTTAATGTTTATCAACAATCAGAAACAGATACATACTTTGTTTGTCCAAGACGATGACATCTATCCTCGGCTTGTTTGTCATTGTATGGATTCATATCAATATCATGTAATATAACTACATTTGCCGCTGTCAAGTTGATTCCTAAGCCTCCAGCTTTTGTGGACAACAGGAATACCAATATGGATGGATCAGACTGGAATTGGTCGATGAGATCCAACCTAATTAATAATGTTTGCTAGTTATTTATAATCTTAGAATAAGACAAGAAGGGATTAGGTTTTTAACGGCAAAAAATAAACTAGAAAAACAGAAAAAATTGTGAATTTAGGGATAATACGAATCTGAAAATCTCTACTTGCAATGTGGAGGTGGACTTGATAAGGAAAGAAAGTTAGCTGATAGAAACATTCACTTTTAGCGCCAAAATAATGCGAATTACAACATTTAAATATAAATGTCTGAGTGATAAATAGGAATGTACAAAATATTTAATCAAGACACACTTTAAATTAATGATAATTGAAGTAAACCATGGCATCATGGCATATTTGAAATTTGTATTAATTAAGATGAATCCTAATCCTAATTATGCAAGTTACATAAGCACATATCATCCATTAGTTTGTATGTTTGCAGAAACAAAAACGAAATATTTGATTAGCTCTTCACAGAGGATAATCTCAATGACGACAACAGAATGCTTTATGCAAATTGCACCCAATATACGTGAATTGTAATGAGGCAGGCAAATTTTACTTAGGCTTATAGTGAATTTAAAACACGGATTGTTTTGTTAATCAGAACTGTGGAATATTTAATTGACAAAAATTGAGATTTGCACAGGATAAAGACATTCTCCTGTATGACAAAACTAAAGAACATACCATTATTTAGCGAGTACTGAATAATAATATCAAGCATAATTATGTAATGTACCTTATATTTACTGGTGTGCTTCCGTCAAGTCGAACAAATTTATGTTTCCTAAAATTGAGGTATTGTTCTATGATATCCATGATCATTGTAAATTGGCTGAATATTGCAACACGATATCCCTGTAAATTACATTCAATATTTGAACACAGGAGAAGAAAAAATTAATATCAAAGTCAGTATGTAAAATTTGAGTGACCAGTAGGCCATAGGTCTACCAGGAACTTTATATATTACTTATGGGCTGACATACATGGAGTTCATAAAGTCTTGTATTAAAATAGTAAAAGAACTTTGATGTTCTTTGTGCAACTAATGGTAGGCATAAAAGGTGTATTAAGAAGTTACACTTAAATAAACACAGACTAGAATAAAACAAACCTGGTCAAGCTATATTGGGAAAATTGTAATTGTAACAGAACTTCATGAACACCCTGTATATAACCAAACCTCTCAAGTATACTTTGATAAGTAAAAGTATATGTGATGTTTATACATTCAACCAAAACAAGGTTATGAACAAGCAGTCATTGATAGTACATAGAGAGTCGTTATGTTTTGGACTTGCTTATTTAATTGGGAATAAGGTAAGTTGGTGAGCATTGACTTTGTACGAGATATTTTAACCCGGGACACACAAATAGTTAGTCCCATTTACCAACCAATAAACTATCGTAGTATCACCTATACGTCATATTAATTTATGTTTTCAGAACAGCATTACTGCTGTAATACCTGTAGAAAAAGATGAACTAAATAATGATACGAATACCTGAAACCAATGGTATATATAAAACAAACATCATATCAATGAGTTAACTATGGCATTCCTATATATGTTTAACTTATTCACCTTCTTTTCTAGATCAGGCAATAATTTATCCAATTTTCTAAATTTTCCTGTGTCTAATATTTTTGAGTCATCAAGAGCATAACGTCCTATACAAGGTGTTGTTTTGCAGAATCGATGAATTTCAAAATCCGTCATGACAGTCATGTCTTCCACAATCAACGACTCTTGTGAATCGTAATATTCAGGTTCCTGCAATATAAAGCAATCAACGATAAAACAAGAGAGCAATGCTGAAATTTATGGACACAAAGATTAAATGACTAATATGGCTATCTATATTGTCAGCAAATCCAAGCAAACTTTTGATATAATTATGAAAATGTGTCAGTGAATTAAAAAAATCAGCAAAATTTGGTGTGAATACTACATTTTTACTGACTTCTTCTGTCTTCAAGTAATAAAAATTTGGAATCGATTGATCAAAAGTGATTTTTCCAAAACAACAACATTCCCAAAAGTTCCACCAAGAATAACAACAATCAATTTGCAAAAAGCACACTTAAGCACACTTCTTTCCCTATATCACAAAGCAAAAAGACAAAGAGAAAGTAGAGACTAAAATTCTGCATGATATATCCTATCAGTTGGTATTCAGTGCTTCATTACTCAATTAAGATCATAAATTCACACTCCTTGACTTACCTTTTTCAAAAGTTTGGCCATTTTAACAAGCATATCAGTCGTGTACAAGTTTCTCCTCAAAAATTGATGATTTGCAACTTTCCGTAATTCTATGAAGGCACTTTTCATTTCAAAGGCAGCTGTAACAGAATGTGAACAATAGTAACCAAAGTTCTCAGCAAAGTCACTATTTCAATGTTCAACATTTGAAGCATGCAATAACAAAAGCATTTTTTAAGTTTTTGATTTCTATTATAGCAAGTTAACACCGATATTACGAAATTGAGGTGCCGAGACAAATGAAGGAGTGTTGAAATTTTGACAAATTTTTATTAAAAAAAATTTTTTTGAAGAAATAGATGCTTTTTAACCTGGTTTCCTAATCAATGCGGTATTGAAACGATATTCACCCACGTATCTTAATAAATAATATTTTCTCAAGTTTCACCATTGGGTTGAAAATAACGTAGCAAAACCAAGAAATATTGAAAACGAATCAAATATACTGAAAACTTTTTTTTAGATTTCGAGAATATTCAACAATTCTTTGTTACCATGTTTTCATATTGTGGTTACCCTGGTCTCTGATACGATATAGTTAGAGATACGATCAATACTGAAAATGATTTCAAACAAAATCTCACATTGTTTATTGAGTTTTAATCGAAATCGTTCCTTTGTTTCTTCATAAAGTTTTTTCTGATCTTTAGTCATTTCACATAAAATTAATTCACTTTCTTTACTTGGAAGTTGTTTCAGAACATCATCTTTCAATCTTAATGTAAACATAAGAAACATTTGTAGTTTTTACAAAAAGTTACAGCAATGTAAATATCTCGCAATATATGAAAAATATTTATGAAGTGTTTTAATGTCTTTAACATCGATTAAAATAGTTATTATTAAGCATTCTAAGGTAAACAGTATTTGTCAATTCTAACAATCTACACCTGATTACTGTACAAAAGTTTTCTGCACCAACCACCAATGAAACAGTACAGAGTTATTCAGTTGAATGCTTCTTGGTATATTTGTAAGTATAGTGATAAAAATAATACCTTCTCAGTACAAAAGGTTGCATGATATCTTTTGCATCTTTTATTCTTTCTTTAGCAAATTTCCCCTTTTTGTCAGAATTGGACTACAAACAAATATTGAATATTTAAGATTTGACTTATTTCAATTCATATAATATGAACTTCGTTTTCTTCAGATCTTCTGTTATTGCACTTCTTATATTGTGGATTATCATAACATGTTGCTAATTAATAGGACGGAAGAGGTTGTTTCAGATGCAAAAACTTGGTGCTTTAGGAAGATGTAACTGACCAGCAGTTATACGAGTCCCTAATCTTTTTTGTATTGATCGTGCGTTTTCTAGTTAAGCCTGTAACTCGGACATAAGGGTTAACTATAAGTCTACAACACATACATTTTGTAGGTATAAAATCTCACCATGGTAAAAATTCGAACAAGAGTATCAGTCGTCTGTTCAAACATATGAGGCATAACAAATCGAATTAGTGACATTAATTCAAGAAGATTGTTTTGCAAAGGTGTTCCGGTCAACAAAATCTTTCTTGCTGCCTGTAACAAACAAATATTAACAGAGAATTTAGAGAAGAATTTATTTTTTAGCATTTACTACTTGGACCACTATGCAGAGCCAGTGAAGTCCAGCAATTCTGTGGCACATGAGCTGCACTCGAAGTATGTGCACCAAGATGGCGCACAACCTGATAGCCCTAATCTGGTACACATACTATGATCAGGTTTTGCACCATCTTGGTGCACATACTTCGAGTGCAGCTTCATAAATACAAGAGATTTATCTCTGAGCAACCATGGGCGACCTCTAATATGCCAAGAACTATGAAGACTATAAATCAATATAGCATAGACTCGTGTGCCAACTGTCAATACAATTAGACAACAGTCAATATCCAGCTATACGTGTAGTATGTGTATTCAAACTTACAATCTTTCGCCTTATGCATTGTGCATTCAAATTATAATTCAGAATCACAAAGTTGTTGATCATGTATGAACGCTAAGTTATATTATATGAACCCCAATTCGGAAATAAAATAAATTATAATTTTTACCAAATTACATAACATTACCTTTATTTTCATCAATTGCACATATCTTTGTGAAGACATATTTTTCAACATATGTCCTTCATCAAATACTGCATATTCTATGTCAAGTTTACGGAAGAATGATTTGTCTTCTGAAGTGCTGATGGCAGAGTTGTATCTAACAATGAGAGAAAATAAAAATATACTAACTGGGCTCGGATATCTTTGTTCAGAGCAAATGGCATGATTAGGTGTATAAAGGCATTCTGCACCATTCGTAATCATAATATGATTCGTTCCATTCAGCTACCACTTTGTTCAACTTACGTAGTAAGAATAACATTGGCAGTTTTTATTCCCCTCAAAATCTGGACTCTTGTAGTTCGCCGGTCTTGCTGACTACCTCGATATACAACAACTTCCATTGACGGACACCACAGCGAAAATTCTCGACACCAATTGTCTGGAAACATTGAGAGAAAAATTAGGCAGGAGTTCTGTTACTTTTCCTTTTTCATAACACATATTTTCGGACTTAGAAATAGGGTGATACATCGTGAAAAAGATGAAGTTCGTATTGTCCATAATTTATTGCTAAATACAATAGTTTATATATAAATTTATAATAATTGAGTATTCAACCTAACTCATGCAATCATGAAAATACTTTCGAGTGAAATGCTTCATTAAGTCAAATTTTTACAAACTAACCAACCTAAGGTAGAACTGGGAACAATTATAGCATGAGGCCCAGTGTTCGGATCAGTTTCCAATAGATGAGCAAGAAATGCAATAGTTTGTACTGTTTTTCCGAGACCCATCTCATCAGCTAGAACACCATTAACTTTATTTCTGTGTAGCAACGTCAACCAGTTCAAACCAACCAGCTGATAAGGCTTTAATTTGAGGCTGAAAAATAACAATATTTTATTTTTTGGAAAACAAGACGTACGTACAGATAAGAGTATAAAAAACTACAGGACATATAAAGTTTCATATGATAGTTCAATATAATAAGAATAGGAAATTCTTTAAACCAACGTTTCCCATCTACTGAGAAATTTTGTTGTTTAGGGGAAGAAAATACAGAAATATTGTTTTGTATTCTGTGAAGTCTTACGATAATTATAATTATTTAATCATTTGATGTTATTGTTAGTTATACATATTCATACACACAATCAAACATTATATGCTGAATGCGTATCTCACCAGATAACAAGACGATAAACATAGGTAGCCTACATACATGGATCCTTTGAAGATTGTATAAATAGCAGAAACATATCTTTTGTACATAGCGTGAGAGTGGAATGAAAATGGCAAATAGGCAAAGGGATAAATATATTAAAAGGGTCGGGAATCACTGTCTTCCAAACGACAAGAATCTTTCATAAATGCTACAAATGGATGGATGGCTATTGACTAGTATCAACTATTTTCCGCTGTTGCGACACATTTTTCACTAAAAAAACTATCCAAATCCCACTCACTGTGATGGAATGGTGCTTGGAGAATTCATCAATGTATTTCCTTCAGTCATGTGATCATGGCAGTGTAATTTTTCTATTTCAGAAGCAAGTCTGTTGGAGATACTTTGACATTCTTTTAAAATTCCTTGAAGTATGACTCTCTCCTTGAGTAGGTCGGCACAGTGAGGAATGAGATCAGTACTCACACGTTTGGAGTCGGCAAGTTTTTTTAGCTACATGGTAATGGTAAAAAATGTTAAAACAAAAAATTGGAGCCAACATTTAGCTTGAGAATAATACTTTCTGCATTAGAGTGTAGATTGAACCTATGTATGTTATGCTGCAGAAAATAACCTGTGTAACAAATAAAGTCACACTTGTGTTAGATTCCTTTCCAATATGTTGTAATACTTTGCCCGTAATCGTAGTAAAAATTAGTTAGTTTTATACACAACACAAGAACATAGTATACAAATATAGAATGTGGTGCAAGTGACAAGTATGGAATATCATAATATAACCATTATAATGAGTGAGAGGTAAAAGAGAAGTAGAAAAGCTGACCAGCACCCCAAGGATTGATAAGCAGGATATCTAAAGGCTAATGTCAGTATGAAATTGAACAAATAAAATTACAATTTCTATAAAATATAGCATTCCGATTTTCAGCATTATTGAATCATTTAAAAAGGGCCTGCGAGTGAGAAATGATCCAATAAAATGCATACTAAGTCATTCCAGGATTTAAAAGGTCGTAGTCCTGTGATTATCTCTGCCTTCTTCTGACTGCAAGTATGAACTGTCATCAACTCATCTAGGCTAGAATCCTGGGAATTAAAAGCAATTGGAGATAAATCATAGATTACACACAATATCAACTTTTAAAACTAAAATGAGACAACAAAGACAAATTTGATGATAAACTGGACTAACCGGTATGAAACGTACAAAGCTAACTAGCTTGTTATGAATAACAGTGTCTGTAATAATCATGTATAATCATATTGAGAGTAGCAAAAAGTTTAAAAAAAAATCAAAAAAACTTGACTGACATTTACATTTAGGTATGTAGAATAGGAACATTTACAGAAAACCGACAATATAAAACACACCTGGAAAAATTCCAAAATATTTTTCTTTCTTTTACTCCCAAATTCTTCAAATTCATCATCTGACGAGGAACCCGATTCAAAATCAGCATTAAAATTTTCATCAGTGGCATTGTCCATTGTTAAGCTCTCATGAAGAAATGACTTGGGTTCTTTGTGCAATTTCTTGGCATCTTCTGTAATATAAACGGTACTAAAAGGAAATTCAAATAATGACACACAACATGTCAATATAACTAAACATCATTTTGATAAAATAATAATAGAAGAACTTAATTACCGATAGTAGATTTCATCATCTTGTGGTAATAAAATGTATGTAAAATGTATAGATTACTCTGTTTATCATCATACAAAACAGAATTTCGTTATTGGTATACAAAAACAAAACCCATACATATCTTATCTATTTAGCACTTGGACTTCATCGATTTGTGTATGATTGTACTCAAAAGTTTCAGTAATCTAGGACGCTTTGCACGAAAGTAATGTTTTTTTTAAAAAGTGGCCAAATGATCTGGGTTCTATTTACGAGCCTGATTTATACCAATACATTGTTTTGTTGTATAGCAAAAGAGGTCCAAATCGAGGTTTGTCCATAGAGGATTAAGAAGTTGAATAAAGTCTATTTTTAATTAAAACCAAAAATAAACATACTTTGTGTTTTCCATGCTTTGTTTTTCTTTGAGTAAAACCCTGGTACTCCATTCTCCTTGAGATCATCTGATGTTCCATTTGTAAGTTTTTCACCTGAAACTTCCTCAGAATCTGATTTTTCAATTTCATTACCGTTAGTAACAACACAATTTAATCTTGGAAAAGGTCCTCTCGGTTGTGAGCTATTTTCTTCACCTTCTGATTCACTGCTGCTGCTAAGTCCTAATCTCTTGGCAGCACTCTTTTTGGATATATGTTCAGTTTCGTCTCCAGGATAATGTTTTTCTTCACTATCAAGTCGCAAACAGTTCTGGATATACAAAATTTTTTTTTAAGAAATCATCATATAATACTCATAATTAGTATGGAAAAGAATTTGAAACGTTGAAATTGAATTTTTTTAAAAATAATAAGGGAAATATGATAAAAATAAAAAAATAGTCTAATACTGAATGGCTATTTTATCGAGAACATCCAGATAAACAGGCGAATGATAGCCAATATATATACATCTGCATTTATAAAATACGGTACATACGTGGATGTTTTGGTTGGACTCAAATTGCAAAGTTACTTCGGTAATTAATAAATTGATTAATCCTGTAAGCACAATAATAAAATCTTATCCTTCACCTTTCTCTTAGGTACAAATAAAGGTGAATCATACGAATTGCTATCTTGAGACAGATTGCCATGTTGTTGAGAGTCACTTTGATGGTTTTTGATGTCTAAAAACATTGTTGAAACGAAATGAACAATGACGATTGGTGGTAAAGAAAATTACTTGGAAAACATAGCAAAATAAATTAAAGTCAGTGGTTATGTGAAATAGATGCCGACATAATACAAAACTATATTCTTGAGAATATCAGATTGGGCATATATCATATGAAATAGTGAATGAGCACCTACACTGATAATAGCAAAATCAAACAAAGCATAAAAAATAAATCTATATAACCTAGAAGCGTTTAAATCTGCTATTCTTTTTCTTGACCGCAAAACTACAATAAGTTATAATAAATGGTCCTCAAACAAGGTAAGCTTGAAGTTGATATTTCTCACAGAAACTCACTGAGGAACGCAACACTTTCCAGTTGCAATTATGCAACACTAACTACTGTACTCATTTTTCTATGCTTTCAATTTGATGAATCATATGAATTACTGTCTTTGCAAAAAAATGTTACTGTTACTGTCCTTTTTCGAGAGTATACCTGCACACTAATACATATATTATATATATAATTTATAGTTTCTTATATCAACCATGAAAAGGAAAGCATAAACATCAACTATGAGCAATTCCTTTTTTTGCTACTTTACAGTCTACATTGTTACTGACCTTCCGATCTTTTCCGAGTTAATATTGTTATTGCTCCATCAATAGTGAAAGTTAAGTCACAAACTTTATCTAAAACATCTTCACTATACTCTGGAAATATCTGTCTCAATGTTGGTAAACGATCATCTGCTTGAATTAAGTCTACTACCTCTGCGAAAGGCAAGTACCAAAACAAAGCTTTAGAACAGTGGTTCTCAACTGAGGGCCGGGGCACCCCCAAGGGGGCCATGAGCAGTTCAAGGGGGGCAACGACAGAAGTATATTACCGGTAATTGATCATAAAGTGACTTCATACGACTGCATACTTTCCCTTTAAAATAAAATTCCCTGCACAGGCATTCACCGCAGTTTCATTACCTGAATAGGTTATTTGTGATCACATGGTGTATACGCTGTCTTTTGATACGATTGTTTGATCATAATGGAATTTGGCATCTACCGATGGAAATAGTTTGCTGGTAGGCCGCTGGTAACCTGCAGACGGGTGCTTTCTATGACTGCAAGCATCGATACCTTGTGAAGTCATCGATGATGCGAGATAACCTTGGCTATCAAAACCACTGTGACAAAAATCATCTATAGGTGAAAGATGTTGATTGTTGACATCGTTTTTTTTGGCTGCCAAGCGAGTTAGATTTGACAAGAAAGCAATATTGGCGTAGTTCGAGTTTCTGCCGGAGGAAAAGCCTACTCTTGCAAGCAGAAGCAGCAATGAAGTGGCATATGGGATTCTTACCCACTACTTAGCAAAAAAACTTGTTCACTTCACTGCTAGTTCAATTAGCCATAACCTATCAGTGCGAATCTGGTTTTTCTAATCCTGTTACCATCAGAATAAAATCTAAAAACCGCCTTGATGTTGACTGTGACATTCGACTGGCTTAAAGACGGTGCCTAATATGAGGAACCTCGTCTAACAGTCCCATCGCAAGATTCCCATTGATTGTATACTAAAAAGCTTGGACTTTGTTTTCGCAATCAATAAAAGGTCGGAAAAAACATATTACAATCCAACACGTTTAGTTTTTCGAAATGGTGAACAGGGGGGCCACGAGTGCAAAAAGGTGCCAGAGGGGGCCACTAACAATAAAAGGTTGGGAACTGCTGCTTTAGAACATCATTTATCTTTAGAGTTTAGAATGAAGAATAGTGTATAATCTCTTCCACTTCCAAATACATACTACTTTATATAAAATATATTTTTATAAAAATTGGGCTAGCCTTTGTCATTTTGAGAGGCAGCTCATTGTCACATTTGAAAATCTCTCTACAATTTACTCCTGATAAAAGAACTGACATATTATAGAAATAACATACAACTCTTAATATTTCGCTTGAATTTAATATGTCTCAATATCTGATAAACATTTGATGACCACTGTACATAATATGAATTCAACATCATAAAGACAATTGCATTAATTACCGTATAGAGAATAATTCTGATAATCTGGTGATAAATCAGAAAAGGGTAATAAACTATCAAATTCTTACCTTTTGGCGATAAATTTTTATTGCTTTCAGCACAATTAGTTCCTTCATCATCATTTTCATCAGAACCAGAATCCGGTGATATGAAGTCATTGGTTTTTTTCCTAAAAATTTAAAAACCATAATTTCGATAAATTTTTTGGTATATATTAATATTTTGTATATGGATTGAATACCACTTATTAGAATTATATATCCACTGTAAACAACACTAACAATTTTAATATGAAAAATCGAATGACTTCAAAATTGAGTTTTTTGTAAAATTACCTTAATACAGTAATACAAAAATTTTAGCTCTTTGGATAAAATTTAACAACAGTAAAACGAGAATATCGGTTGGAAACCGAAGACTTATCGATCGATAGTTAGGGGATCCCCCAAAACAGAAACTGCAGTTTCGATTCATCCGCTCTTGTAACTTGCGCACTGCGCATCGCACACACACACTCGGCAGGTTTCAAAATTCTCTCGCTTTACAAAAATCAAGATCACTATATATATCAATAATCAATAATTGATTGATAACTCGCTAATTATACGACATAATTCGCCCAAAATCAATAGGTTTCTGGTCCGAGATAAGATGAATGCACATGCAAAATTTGGAGCAGATTCAACCTCGCATTCGCGAGATATCGCGTTCATCTAACAGACACACACACAGACAGACAGACAGACAGACAGACATACAGACAAATACCTATCAATATACTTACCGATCTTAAGATCGATAAGTAATTACTGCAGAAACATGATGCAAAATAATAAAAATCGTCAATAGTTAGACAAAATTTTGCATTAAAGCTAATAAATAAGAGTAGCTTTTATTAGACAACAAATCTGTTTTCCATAAGTAAACAAAAAGTCTGGTAACAATTAAAATCTATTTCTATTTAGATTAAATTGTTCAGACATTTGTAGCCCCTTATCAATAAAAAGTTGAAAAAAAAATCAACATAAAAATAAGAACAAGAACTAACTTCACTATATCAGATTTGTTTTGCATGAAATGAGTTATCCTTGTCTTCTTATAAAGCTGTGTAACACTCTCAGAGCCTTCTTCATCTGAACTCAAGTCAAACTTCCTCTTTCTTTTCAAACCACTTGTAGCAGCCTTCTGTAAAAAAAGAAAAAGTAATTTCAAATCTCAAGCAGATACTCTGTAACCTGCTGTTATCAGCGCTGATTAGGGTTGGATTTTCCTATTTATCCCAGCGAGATATGAAAAGTATTCATCATATAATGCAAAATAGCATATCATCTGATTACCAGTCATCCCAGGTATGTGAATAGTTAACAAATTATTCCATCTAGATCAGGGGTCGACAACCTACGCGTCACTGAATTATAGTAACAAAACAGTCGTTTTGACAATTATACTCTTTACGTAATAAAATTTATTGTGAGGCACATGTGGCCTAAAATATATTATAACCTAACAAGTATATAATTCACAATCACTTGTTTAATAGTGCCTTTGAGATGAAGAAGTAAATCTATATTATATTCCAGAGTAATATCGTTCGTTTTCAACTTTCTAAAAATATGTGCGGCTAGCCAATGACTTGCAACCCGTAATTTTGGCCCGCCAGCGACAAAAGGTTGCCAACCCCTGATCTAGATGAACAGACTCGATAATGAAGGAAGTTGTAATCGACCAGTGATAATGTGGACCACCATACATCAGTGATGAGTCCAGCATATTATAATCCCCAATGGGAATAGAACCCAAAAAGGTAATCAGAGGTGTGACAGCAAATGTTCTCCTGACTCTTAGCTCATTGCACCAACCATCCATGTTAAAAAAGCCTTTAGGAGGATAGGAGAATAGGATTTACATGTTTATCCCGGGGGAGAGAAAAGCCGATAAGACGGCTTAATCATATGGCGAACCACGGCCTCTCGTCCGGTTACCAGTCCAGGTCAGGTATGGGATTAGTTAGCCAGTTATTTGTTTTCGGAAGCATGGACTTGATGGTGGAGGAAGCCGTAACTGACCAGCGGTTACGTGAACCACCCTACGGTGGCGAGGAGTCCAGCAATCCTCTCGCACGTGATCATCCCCGCATTGGATTCGAACCTGCGATCCCACGAAGGGTAATCAGAGATGCGGTGGCGAGCGTATTCCTAACGCTTAGCACGATGCGCCACACCGCCGAGCCATGTCATTGTTTGAAATGTCATTCAAGTGAGGCATAAATTCCAGACCAGCTTGAATCATTCAGGCATGTCGATGTGAGCTTGATGAATGGAAAGTTGTTGTAATTTTTCATTTATTACAACCTATAATCAAGTGATAAAGAATGGTGTGTAACAACATAATAGTAGTATAGTGATATTTTAATGATATTGTAACAATGATTTTTAATTGGAATACATCGAATTACCTGCTCATTATTGCACTTCATCGGTGGTGTTTCTGGAATTATGTCAGGAGTGAAACCAACTTTTACAGGCGATTCCAATTCTGCAAGAGAATTAGAGAAGAAGAATTTGAATATCCGAATCAATCACTTTCAAGGTAATGGACTAATGGTTATACCAAAATAGCAAATATGGCTTAACTCCTGTAACTATAGAATAAATCAACGATCATTCGGAAAACTCCATACAGTCATAGAAGTCCAGTGTCATCAACAATACTATGGGTATTATTTACAAATTCATCATTCAATCATTAAAAATAAATGAGAAATTGTTACTAAACACAAACAAAATGGGCCACAAAACTAGTTCTAGACCATCCCCCCCTTGCATCCTGGGTCAAAAAAAATAAGCACCACCTATGTAATTTGATTCAGTAATTAGAACTTTTGCATACCGGTATCCCTTATCTATATCAGTACCGGTACGGTATCTGCATATACTGATATAGCCTACTGGTAGCTGTATAGAATAGAGTTCAGAGTGTGGTGACAGGCTGATCTACAGGTACCGTATCTATTGTGTCTGTATTTTGAAGTTTCATTAATCAAGGCTCATATAGCATTCTGGTGTACGGTACCGTACTGGGTACCTACACTGGGTCTCACTAAAACCAAGCACTTGCAAATTCAGACACCATCTGACCATGGTACCAGTATTTATTTTTGCCGCACGTCATCAGGGTTTCCAATAAATTTGTTCACTTCTGTATTGCAATAAAACAATACCGGTATTCTTTCCAGTTCATTAGAGTACGGTACCGGTACAATTACTTTTTTGATAGTAAAATATGGCAACCTTGAGTGCAAAATATAGAAATCTTACCGCTTCCACCTTTATCATATTTGAACCGGTTTAAATTCAGCATCTTCACCCTATAGCAGGAAAAGAAGAAAAATATAAATCCCTACACCAGGAGCGCAAATCAAGTGTCTGCAACGGGGCCCAGTGTTGAACAGAATTCCGGACGATTCCGGTCGGGATTTGACTAGCAGTCTTTCGCAAGTATGGACCATCGAGGTGTATATAACACTTCAAAGGTATGTACCTTTCAGCGACCTTTGACCCCCGGGCATTTTCCCCCATACTTTCCCATAGCAAAGTGATTATTAGACCGTAGTAGAATATATTTACGATTAGACACGTCAGTGGACATAACGATAGTTTTGTATTTTATGCTGGCACTCTTCTTCTTGTTGTTCTTAAACACGTTTTTAAAAAGTCGCTTTGCTTTTTGATTACTGGATCAATCTCTTTAAAATTTTCAGTGCTTGAAGATTTAATTTTACGCTAGAAGGCTATTTACTTTTATTTATTTCAAATATTCTGGTGAGCTGCAGGGGATTCGATTTTTGGACACGTAGTGGACATAACGATCGTTTCAATATTATGTTGTTGTTGTTGTTCTTGTTCTTTGACACGTTTTTAAAAAGTCGCTTTTCTCTTCGAATACTGGACCAATTGCTTTGAAATTTTCAGTGGTTGAAGATAAAATTTTTCTCCAGAAGGCTATTACTTTTTTTTCGCTATGACGTCATCAAAATTATTGCCATTGGGTGGCGCTACGTGTCCATATATTTGAGCATAGCTCAATTGTTGTATGTGCTATGACGTCTCCCAAAGTTGCCACTAGGTGGCTCTACATGTCCATATATTTGAGCGGTTTTAAGAATGGTTTCGCGAGTTGGCGCCTGTAAAATGGGGTATTTGTTCCAAACCATCATTCAGATTCAGAGGCTCAGAGCACTCAACAATGTGTTTTCAAAAGTACCGGTAAAGAATTTTAGCCTTATCATCTCGTCTGGTCAATGACATTAATTAAAGTATTAAACTACATGATAGGCAACTCTGACGTCATCCCATGAGAGTACAGGCAAAATATCGTATTTTATGATACGCTTCGAGCCGCCTTCGATGCATATACTTCTCGTCGCCTTTCACGACCGTTTTCCGCTCGCTTTCGCTACTCTGCGTCCTCTTTGCGTGTAGTACCTGCCTTTTTGCACCTGTAACGAAAGAAAATTATCTCAATACGGTATTTAAAAAGTTTCGCTCACGTGGAAAGCTGGAATGGCAGACCAGATGTAAAGAATAATTCTGGGCATCATAGACGTTTTTTTTTATCAAAGAAGATTACAAGCGCAATAGCGTGGAGTTCTGTGTGGAACATTTTGCAGACAATGATAGGTAAATAGGTTTGTGTCTAAATTTGGGAATTTAACTCATAGACCATTATTTTGTATGCAGGAGGTTGTAGAACTGGATTCAAAATGTGTGCTATTCCTGAATTGAAAATGCCTATTGAACTTAGAAACGACAAAATTCAATGCAAATAAAAAACGGAAATTTAGAAATATCATATATATACCATAAATATATCGATGATTTGAAGAAAAGTGCGATGTAATATTTACCTCACCACTAGGATTTTGAAACTTGAAACAAGAGCATTTTATTTTATTCTAAAATTGATTCCAGGACTGATATTCTTTCATTCAATGGTTGTTTGGACAAATTTCTTGTCATTGTTTGCAGGGTATTATGGCTGAACCTCGTAATCTTGGACTTTTCTAAAAGGAGTGTCAATGATTAGACCCTCGTATGCCACTGACAGTTCTGTAGATGTGAAGTGTCAAGTGTTGTCTAGTCAAACACATAAGGCATATATAAGAGGCTTCATATATTATTCAGCAAGCATTTATTACGGATGACTCCTCAGTCAACAGAAACAGTCAGATTAACATACAACCAACACAGCCTAACACAAACACAGAATACCAGTACACGGCATGTCTACAGAGAACATCACTAGAGTGAAGGTCATCTTCAGTGACCTTTGACCTAACATGATCACTTATCACGACATCCCTCTTGTTAATAAAAATTAAAGACATAGCATGCATCACTCAGAACTAGACTCAGAGTTGAGAATGAAGCATGACAACAAGCGTTTTAAAGGGACAATCATCAAATAATAAGCATATTAATCTTCTTCAATAAAACGACGAGGTATTCTTCTATTCCTCCTAGATCTTCTCAATTGTCTTTGTGGTACTTGAACATTTTCTTTTTCTTCATGATCATAAGTTGAGTCAATCATCGGACCAGTATATGTAGGTATATCTTCTCTTGTTTTCAAAAGATGATATCGATTCCTTCTGTATCTTGAACCATCAGGAGTCTCAACATAATATGATCTGGGTGTATTATGTTTACCAACCACAATTGCAGGAATTCATTCACTATCACGTCTGATTCTTACAACATCTTGATTTTGTAATTCTTTCATCTGCCTAGCAGATCTATCATAAAATTTCTTCTGTTTCATCTGTCTTTGATGCAAATGAGAGTGAACATTCTTTGCAACTTTTGGATTTAAAAGTTTCTTTGAAACAGGTATTAGCTTCCTGCTCATTAGTAATTCAGACGGTGAATATGACATATCCGAAATTGGAGTATCACGAAATTCAAGTAACGACAGATGAATATCTCTATTAGAATCATCAGCCTTTTTTAGAAAATTCCTGATAGACTGTACAAATCTCTCAGCAAGACCATTGCTTCTAGGATAATTTGGACTTGAAGTTACAATTTGTATTTCCCAATCTCTGCAGAATTTGAACTGTTAAATGGCATATTGTCAGCTACAATTTTTTCAGGTATGCCATGGCGAGCAAAGATTTCTTTCATAGCTGATATTACAGAATAACTTGTCTTATTCTGCAATCTCGCAATTTCTGGATATTTTGAAAAGTAGTCAACAACCAACAGATAATTTTTTCCTTTGTAGTAAAATATATCTGAGGCAACTGTAGACCAAGGTATGTTTGGAATCTCATGTGGAATCAAAGGTTCTTTTTGATTACTTCTTCTATGTTTCAAGCATGTTTTACACTTGGAAACATAATCTTCTATATCAGCATTGATATTTGGCCAAATGATATTTGGCCAAAAGACAGAATCTCTTGCTCTTGATTTTGTCTTTTCGATTCCAAAATGAGCAATATGAACTCTCTCCAATATATTCGGTCTCAGTTTTGTTGGAATTATTATACGCTCTCCTTTGAGAAGTAAATTCTCACAGACCGTTATCTCATCTCGATAATTCCAATATTCGACTACGTCTTGAGATACTTGTGACCTTTTCACTGACCAGCCTTTTTGTACAATTTTATACAATGATTGCATTTGTGAATCATTTTTGGTCTCTTGTACAAGTGTTTTGTACACATCTTCTTTCATATCTTCATATTCAAGAAGATTGACATCATATATTTCCTCTTCCTTCTCGGATGAATACTCTGAGGAATCGTATGCTCGACTTAAAGCATCAGCAATAAAAAGTTCTTTACCAGCTTTATATTTAACATCCAGCGGGTAAGAATGTATTCTTAGAATCATGCGTTGTAAACGCATCGGAGCACAATGTAATGGTTTTTTCAATATTGTCTCAAGTGGCTTATGGTCAGATTGAACAGTGATGTGAACTTGGCCAAACAAATAGTCATGAAAGCGTTCACATCCAAAAACGATTGCATACATTTCTTTTTCGATCTGCGCACAATTTTGTTGACATTTTGTGAGCGATTTAAAGTTTAGACGCATATGCCACTGGTCGACCATCTTGAATTAAACATGCGCCAACTCCTTTTGAGCTCGCTTCAACAGATAAAATCACAGGTTCATTAACATTGAAATATTTTAACACAGGAGCATTAGAAATAGCATATTTCAATTTCTCAAAAGCACTGTTTTGCTCAGGACCCCAGAACCATTCAATATCTTTTTCTAACAATTGTCTTAAAGGTGAAGTAACATTGGACAGATTTTTCATAAATTTCGACAAATAAGTACACATACCCAAAAAACATTGCAATTCTTTCACATTACAAGAGATAGGCATGGCAGAAATGGCTTTTACTTTTTGGGGATCAGGCTTAAGTAAATGACCAATGTAACTAACTTCAGTCAAACGAAATTTACATTATCACGATTCAATTTCAAATTGCTTTGTCTGATCTTTTCAAGAACAATAGACAACCGTTGGTCATGTTCCTCTAGTGTACTGCCCCACACTAGTATATCATCAATAATTACTTCAACGCCTTCAATATTTTCAAATATTTGGGTCATAATTCTCTGAAAAACTTCACTAGAACTAGAAATACCCATGGGTAGTCGATTGAAAAAATATCTTCCAAAAATTGTGTTAAATGTGCATAATTTTGCACTGTCATTATCTAACTTAATTTGCCAGAAACCATGATTAGCATCAAGTACAGAAAAATATTTGGCATTAGACATTCTAGTATTATTATCTTCAATGGTTTGCATTGAAAAATGTTCCCGTTTTATAGCACGATTCAAATGCAAAGGATCAACGCAAATTCGTAAAGCATTATTCTTCTTGTTTACAATTACTAGACTATTGACCCATTTTGTAGGTTCAGTAATTTTTTCAATAACATTCAAATCTTCCAAACGATTCAATTCAGCTTTGAGCAACTCTCTTAGAGCAACAGGTACTCTACGAGGTAGATTTATTATGGGTTTTACATCAGTTTTAAGCTGAATTTTATGAACAAAATTGTCAATGACTCCCAGGCCATCAAAAATATCAGAGAATGCATCTTCAACATTATTACAATTTTGTAAATTATCAATTCTCTTTATAAGATTCAAACTTATACATGCATTCAAACCAAGTACTGATGGTACATCCTGTTTGACTATCATTATATCAATATGTTTTGTGAAGCCTTTGTGTTCACAAGGTACACATATTTTACATTTAGGTTTGATTTTTCTGCCATCAAACATTTTCAATATTATGCTTGTAGGATGTACTTTCAAATTTTTGACTTTCAACTCATCAAAAATTTTCTCAGATATAACATTGCAATCAGCACCAGTGTCAATTTTGAAATTGACTGATTTGTCTAGAATTTTGACATCAACATGCCAACTATCTTTATTATTTAATGAATTTACTTCATTCAGGCAGTACAATGTTGGTGTTCTGTCTTCACTATTATCAGCATTGTTAGTCTTTGCATGTCTTTGTAAGGTACAAACATCTTTATTTCGTCCAGGCCTCCTTGACTTGAGTCTGTATACGGATTCAAAATGTCCTATTTTCTTGCAATAGTTGCATCTTTTGCCAAATGCTGGACTTGATCTTGGAGCATGAAATCTTCCACAGTACTGACATGTTCTTTTTCCATTAAGATCTTGACTTCTGTGTCTGCTTTTTTATATTTCTTGATTTCTGCAGATTGTTAATCTCTGAATTTTCTTCTTTCTTGAACATATTTGTATCGTATGCATTCGAAGTATTTTTCATTGCATCGATTTGCTTTTTTGAAGTTTCTATTGTGCGTGCTATTTCAAGAGCTTTCGTGATTGTTGAATCTTTTTCTCTCAACAATCTTTCTTTGACAGAATTGTCACTTAAACCAAGCACAAATTTATCTCTCACCATATTCTGTGGTGCTACAAATTGGCATTGTTTGACTTGTGTTCTCAATCTTGTTGCATATTCATCAACAGTTTCAGTCTTTTCTTGCTTGTATTCCCAGAATTAAATTTTTCAAATTGTTCAACCACTTTATTCAGGTTCTGTTTATCATCATCTTCAGCATAGGTAAAATTTTCATATAGTTCTAAAGCATCTTCACCAGCAAAATTTAATAACATGGCAACTTTGGCAGCATCAGGTTTGTTGTCCTTCTCTGCAGCAATCAAATATATGTCAAAACTCTGTTTAAATCGACGCCAGTTTTCAGCTAAATTAGGTACCTTGGTGAATATCAAGATTACCAGGTGCATTGAAATGATCCATGTTGAACAGTTATTTATCAGGGAAGCTTTTTACAATCTTCAAAAACACAATCTTGTGTTGGCGAAGCACAATAAACGTGAATGTAAAAATGTCCTGTCGAATCTGACGCTATGCAACGTTAGATTTACTCTTCCTCTTGTGAGCTTTTTACTTCTGACACCATGTCATGTGTTGTCTAGCCAAACACATAAGGCATATATAAGAGGCTTTATATATTATTCAGCAAGCATTTATTACGGATGACTCCTCAGTCAACAGAAACAGTCAGATTAACATACAAACAACACAGCCTAACACAAACACAGAATACCAGTACACGGCATGTCTACAGAGAACATCACTAGAGTGAAGGTCATCTTCAGTGACCTTTGACCTAACATGATCACTTATCATGACATGAAGTGCAGGTTATAGCACGGAATTGAAACTACAGGCGAAACAGGTATATCATTCAGAGTTCAGACCTTTCGACAAATCGGTTTTGCTTATAACATTGCCATTTGCCAATAAAGCTGATAGATTGACTCACTGGTACACATTGGCAGCAACTGCCAAGTTGCTTTTTATTTAACCAATAAATGCGCTATTTGTGATCTCCGAGACAGATTTTCATCAAAGATAACCCTAAGAATTTTATCTCTATCACTTCCTGAATTTCATTGCCATGGAGCAGCTATGGCTCTGGTGTATAATATATAACCCTCAATGCCACAAACGAATGGCAAGATGCCGTTACCATGGCAGCAAATTGAAAACCAATGGTGGGTAAAATTTTGCTGCCGTAACCACGGCATGTCGGCTGTAATGGCAGGGCTGTTCTGATGGTGACAAATATTGAGTGAGTTGGAACATTTTTCTCATGTATACAGTTTTGATGGATTTGAGGTTAGGTTTAGGTACATATACCTCCGCAAGATAAACTAAAACCTGGTACATGACTTTGTGAATATACCGGTAATAGCGCCATAACCCATGGCAAGTGCCGCCATCGATTCGTTCGTGGCAGAAGCTGCCATGAAGTGGTAAGAACTGCGACTCTGGAATAGCGCGCACTCTGGTTACAATCGTCAGAAAGTTGGTACCGTACGGCAGAGGGCCGCAACCACTTCGTGGCTTTTTTCTAATTTCCTGCGACCCAAGCATTTGGTAAGCATGTAATTAGTTATCGATTTTAGGGCTGTTATTGACACTAGAAATTTGCACGCACAAAATTATATAAAACTTAGCACATAAAATCTCGTTATCTGTCTTATTAAACAGTTCCATGCAGCTACTGCTAACCTCGTATTGCCACGAAGTAAGACTAACGTAGTAAGATAATAACGAGAATATCGGTCAGAGACCGAAGACTTATCGATCGAAAGTTAGGGGATCCCCAAAACAGCGCTCCATAATGACACCTTGTGTCCCATCACTAATTAATTAACAACTCGCTAATTATACGACATAATTCATCCAAATCAATAGGCTTTTGGTATGAATGCACATGCAAAATCTGGAGCAGATTCAATTTCGCTTTCGTGAGATATCGCGTGCATCTAACAAACAAACAGACAAATATCAACATACTTACCGATTAAAATCGATAAGTAACAATGCAAACAACTACGTAATGAATGTTTATCCGACTTTCAATCCCCGGGTAATTCTTCCTATACACTATCTGAGCAAAACTGTTGGTACATATTTGAAAAGTGGTTTCACGAGTTGCCGCATATTAAATGGTTCATATGTTTCAACCAGCGCCGGATTAACCATTAAACAATAGAAGCACGTGCTTAGGGCACCAAGCAAAAAGGGGCATCACAAATTTTTGAGCAGAACTTTATATAGTTTATCAGTGTTTATTAAAATATTACGAGTTCACCAGACGACTCAAACTTCAAAATCTTTGCTTATTTTTCGTCTTAACCCAACGCTGCCGGTACATCTAAGCCCAATTTTTTATTTTTTTTATAATTTCTCGTTAAAGTATCATATTAACCTTCTTTATTAAAAATAAACACTGAAACTTTTTTTTTTGGACACGGAATGGGCCTATAAGTCGTTTTCTTAAATTGTTGTTGTTTATTCTTTCTAGAATTCTCCTTGTTGCTGTATTTTTGTTTTAAAAAATTTATTTTCTTTCTCAACAATTGGACCAATGAACTATTTACACTATGTGGCGGTTCCACGATCGCATTTCAACGATCTAGTGGTCAGCGAAGTCGGGAGTTTTTTGATAAGGTTAGTCCAGGGGGGTCCAAACCCTTTCATGCTGATACATTCCACGCGGCTTACCGAACAATTTAAGCGTATATTTGTATCTAATGGAGGAACGTTTTTGAATTTTTTTAGGTATTCCAACAGGGGTGATATCCCGAGATTCAAACCCCTTTTCTAACTCTTTGTGCCCTTATTTTAGTAAAACACTCCTCTGTTTTTGAGCGTCGGCCATGTGACAGTAGAGACGAAACGCAGAGCCGACTTAACACCTCGCAATCGAGTTTTTTTAGCTAGATCCCGAAATACCAACTTAGACGGACTTGATTGGTATTTGACGATGGCACTAAGCTTGCTCACGCTGCAAGTTTTTAAATTACTCAATATAACAATTCGTTATAAAACGAGTGTCGCAAGAAAGGTGAAATAAGGAAAACACGGCGGAAACGTATTTCCTTGCCCATCACACAATGTCTAGTTTGATTTTAAGTAATATTTGTCACGAAAGAATATAATTTGGAGCGACATTAAACGCGAGATGCGCAAAATACAACGGTAATTTCCGGGAATTACCTTTAAAATAACTGAAGGCCTTATATATATATCTCCTTTAAAAGAACGCCACCCATGCAACATAATAATAGTATGATTAGAACGGTAAACTCTCATTGTTTATTAAATTTGAAGTAAGTAAACTCGCGATATTTTGATCACTTTTGGGTTTACTCCGACATGCGGCCTGCGAGGCCTTCTCAAAAGTTTTTGCGGTCCTTCATCCTAGCAACCTTGAACCACCCTGAGGTAGACTACCAAGTACCGGTAAAATTTCAAACTATAGTTGTGAATTGAATGATTTGGTATTTCGATTCACGTTGAGACTGGAGGCATGGATCTTTATTGTCAGACTCCCTTAGGAATAGAGCTCAATCGATATATCTGCCCGATATTGCGTGTTTGCCGATATATGATATCGGCTATATATAACAGTTAAAAAACCTAAAAATGTTCGTAAAAGTTGTTTTATGTACTGTTCGTTGTGATTATTTTCAATGGATAATACACCTATGTGGTTTACTGTTTTTATAATTAAATCACACATGAGGGGGCACCAAAGTCTTCAGTGCTTAGAGCACCAAAAGGGCTTGATCCGCCCCTGGTTTCAACCCATCATTTTTATTCATAAAAAAAGTTCAGCCTAGTCTATCAGATCTGTTTCTAGACTAATTTTTGATTACTGCAATTAAAATATAACTACTACGAAGACAAAATGACTATTGAGTTACTTGATTTAGACTTATATTTACCAAAAACTAACAAATAGCACGCGAAAACGAGGTAATATTCACAACCATTAAAATGATTGGCCAATAATACGGCAGTAAATAAGAATGTTAAACATTCATAAATATAATTAGAGGTACAGTATACAAAGTTGTAGTACATAAATATGATACACTGCTTATATACGATGCTTATATTTATGGCAAATCTAATTGTTGTGCGACCCAGAGTGGAGGGTTTCGCGACCCAAATTTGGGCCGCGACCCCGTATTTGCGGATCCCTGCCGTACGGTACCTGCAGACATCATCAATTGTTAGAACTAGTTATGTGCGTTTGATGCATGTCGTCTTGCCAGTAGCAGATACCTGTACAGAGCTCAAGTGTTGCTCATCTTTGTTTTATCGTTCTTTGTTAGTTATTAGAATTTTGGGGTCTGATATAGTTCAGTACCACATATACTTCTAGTGGGCGTAGCGTCACAATTTTTCGACATGCCAATCCTAACCCCTATCGGACTACGCCATCCAAAAATAATGTCACTACGACATCACAATCACGTCATAGAGCTTGTCAAATCGTAAATATATACTATGACGTAAAATCCATTGAGGTGGTAAAATCACCCGAAATGGCATCGGCGCCGATGAGACCAGAGCCATTATATAACTAGTCTGGAAGCTCTCGCTTTTTTGCATGACACCGAGTTGTTGACGGCGACATCTGGTGTTGGTGTGCGTTTTACACCCCTGTCGTCTGCTGGACAGCCGAATCAGGCAGTTTGATGCAGGTAATGTGTGATTGTTTTCAGGCCATGTTTTCACATTTCAAGTTGCGCGAAGTTGGCAAGATAGAGAAAACTGAAAATAAAAAGGCAAACTATTATTATTAAACTCAAATATAGACTGTGTATGCAGAAAAGGTAGTCTAGAATCCTATCCTAAGCTACTGATAACTCCGGTGCTGGTAACATTTGTTTTTTAGTTACCGGTACAGAGTTAATAATGGTTCCAAGCAAGCATCGTGTCCCGGATGGTAAGAAAAGGAAATTTGGAATGCCTTCAAATGAATTGACACAAAAGTTTCATCACGTTTATTTGGTATCCGCAATTTACCGTATTTTATTTTGGCTATCCAAAGCAAGGACAATCTTTATTCTTTCATTTCAGAAATATGGTGTAGGCTACTGCTGTATGTGATGTCATGAGTTTTCACTGTTTATTTTGTGTCTTATTGTATTCTAGTGTTAGCCATTTATTAACTCACTTATGACTTGACATATTAATTGCTAAGTAATTTTCTATTGCATCTAGATTGTGTTGAAATAATGCTACTCTCCTAACTTTGAAAGCAAAGTTGAGGATGGAAAAGCTAGAATTTGTGCTGATAATTTCAAGGATGAAGATATTCAAAGGGCCAATAACAAAAGTTGGATTGAATTTGGAGCATCACCCACAAAATTGTTGCCAAGAAAATCACATGAAGTACCACCCTGCCCACCAAGAAGAATTGTTCCCAAATATTCATCTATAAATGACTGTCCACCTTCATCACCTCAATCTGCAATTATTAACTACAATTCCATCAATGAAATAATTTCAGCTTTTGAAAGTATCACCTTGAAAATTTGGAGAATACATTAAATCAATACATACAAAGCTTCTTTGTTTTCTTGCGCTTTCGCTAGAGTTTATTCTTCCACAATATCATCGGCAATTTCAATCCTACTCAAAAACTTGGTTGATCTCACCCCGTGTTTGGGATCACGCCTCGAAGCTTGGTTTTGGCACCAGAAAGCACCTTCTCCACCTAGAGGCTTTATTTCCCATTTTAGCAATCCCCCAGTTAGGTACTCAATCACCTTTTTGTCGCCTTTGGATATTGACGTTTGCATGAATGGCTCAGGTACTTGGGATACTTGAAAAGCTTCTTTTATAATTTTCGGTGCTGCAGTTTTGATTATGCGTTTTATGTCCAAATGAGACATTTCAGAATTGTTCGAATATGGCCTTCGCAATTTTTCAATGTATTTAGCTGTCATTTTACTTCCTGATTCTTCCCTAGAAATTTCCATCATATACGCTATAACATCTGCCCATAGTGATGATTCCTGATTTAATAAGATGTTCAAATCATTCAATGCAGTCTGCAGTGTATTCTTGCAATCAACACTTCCGAAGTCGATTTCTACTACAGTTATGCACCATTTTCCTTCTATCTCGTCATCAAGCTGTTAAATATATAAAATCGGGTCTAAAACAGTGCCTAAGTGCTTGAATAAAGCAAAACAAATGTGATGTATAAATACTGACCAAATTTTTAGCAAAACAAAAACGGTCTCTACTTCCATATATTAAACTACGGTACTATAAACTCTTACTATTCATTCTTTCAGGATCAAAACCTTTTTTAATAAACAATCAGTACTATATAATTCACCTCATCAAAAAATTCAAGCATTTCTTCCTCAGATAAATCTATTTTCATTCGAACTTTGAATACCGTTAACAGCGAGCAGCCTAAAATATAGCCTACAGCAGACGACGCCGCGGTTATGATTTACTCACGCCAACACTAGATGACGCTGTGAACAACAGATCAGTATACGGCCTTCAAGACTAGTTATATAATGGCTCTGGTCTGCTGTATATGATTTCATGAATCATACTGTTACACCCAACGACTAACATACCATGATGCGCAACTAAAGCCTTGACCAATGAGGAGTGTCTGACGCGATACGCTCTATTGCAAGTGCAGTTTTAAGTATTCTATGGCGTCTGCAGCTGCCGCAAAACCATGGCGGTATTTCCATACCATGGCCGCTACGGCCAAACCTATGGCGACTGACTTTTTAGCTGCCACAAACCAATGTCGAGCTGCCGTTACCGCGGCAGCAAATTGAAAACCAATGGCAGGTAAAATTTTGCTGCCGTAACCGCGGCAGGTGGGCCGTAAGGACAGGGCTGTCCCTTAGGGTGACAAATATTGGGTAAGTTGGAACGTTTTTCTTATGGATACAGTCTTGATGGATTTGGGGTTAGGGTTAGGATTTAAGTAGATATAATTCCGCATGAACAATTAGAATTTGGTACATTAGTTTGTGAATATACCGTTAATACTGATTACTGAATACAGAATAGCGCTATAAAACCATGGCAAGAGCTGCCGCGGTTCGTTCGTGGCAGGAGCTGCCATGAAGTGGTAAGAACTGCGCCTCCTCTATTGCGGCAACTTGATTCGTTAACGCCCACTCGAGTTCCCAGCGTTTTCCTGCAGTTTCACCATATCTGTTGGTCGCGTCGGACTCAAGGGCTGTAGTTATTGTATAATCAGTGGCTATTATAGCTAATAAAGGTAAGTCTACCATTTCTATACGTTAGATATATACTATCAGTATGTTTCCATTAGCGGGTGACTATTCAGGGAGCTACCATGTGCTGATATATGACAGACAGAGCTGCCGAGTTTAAATCCCTGAATCAGATCCTGAATTTGATGATACATGCATACATTACCTGTCTGCCTGTACCGTACTAGACTCATTCATGAGGATCATAAACTGACAGTATTCATAGATCTTAACGAGGAAATGGAAGAAAAGTTTACCTTGAATGAGGAAAAGTAAGACAGCTATTGAAAAGAAAGCTACAGACAGACAGAGGGCAAAAAGTGTTAGGAGAGATTTGATGCAGAACCCCCAACAGATCATGCATTCAATTATCTTACCATCAATATATTTTCTGGATTTCATTCTATAGATAGAGACATACTTAAATGTGATATTTTCATGACAATATTTTTGCTATTAAACAAGTTATTCTGAGATTTATAAAAAATAACTTATGTTTTATTTTAAGGTGCTCAACGTGTCAAAAGTTATTTTCCAGCATGGCATCTTTAGCTCGACATATTCACAAACAAGGTAAGATTTACATAATTATAGACTCCTACATAAATTCCATAATTACTAATACAACTTCCACAACTCGAGAAAACATGAAGAGCAAAATTTTTTTAACCACCAGGGGATAAATCTGTCAAAATAATTTATTTTTAGGCAGAGATATTAGTGTGGGGAGAATTGTAGTGGAAGATCATTGCAGCCACTGTCCCTATTTTACCAAATGGGGTCAAATAGTCTACTCACAATTGTTGCTGAAGAAAAGTCCTGAGTGATCAAATGTTATCCTTCAGCTGTGATGCAGTTAACGTTATTGCTCACACTTGAACAGAGTATTCCAGTCTGTCGGGATATTATTTGATAGATTCACAGCCAAAGAAATGGATAAAACGAAAGGTGTGGTGCTTTATATTTGTCTGGATTTGAGTATGTTTAGATACCATAATTTTACGGAACATATGACTAACTGGCAAAGATTGCTTAATTGGGTTTTATCAATACATAAGGCTATAAAACGCAACTGTTTTCTAAGCAATATTGGTTTTGAATGTAGGCAATAAAGCACTACCTGATTCATACATTGTGCGCACCAGCTTAACTGGCGCTCGATCGATTTTAATTTCAAGTATTGACCCTGTTTGATTGACATTCATGGTAATCAATAATGCGATATCCTAATATTACACACCTGTTCCCTATGTTTTCCAGATTTACTGGATTCAAGTTCTATGTCAAGTCCATCTAATCCAATACATTGCATTGGGTTTATTTTACAAAAAATGCAAAAACGATGCTAAGACCCGGAAGAATTCAGCCATTATTTAATCCCGAACCGGACTGTTTGATAATTGACTCTATGATTGCAGTAATGCAGAAAACAGAATATGGACGCCTAACCGTACCATTGCCCAGTGTCCAAGCTGCTCGAAATTGAATTTAGATTAAACTATGCTCATGAAGGTGTTACAGCCACAGTTTTTGAAAATTTTAATATGGAATCATTTGGTATCGCCCAAAAAGACACTAGCATGCTGGACATCTTGGAAAAATAAGGTGCCATCAAACAGAATTTATCCCTACAAAAACTGCTTAAAAATAAATGTAGATGAAGAGCATGATCTCTTTTCACTTTATTTTGCAAGGTAGTGCGTTTAGATGTGATTCCAGTTTTATTTTTATTACTTTAGCAGTAATTAAACAAAGCAATCTATTTTTCATGACAATAGGCAATGTAAGTTGCATAATAAAAATACAGCATATCTAGAACTGTTTGAGTTGTCCCAGCGACAGATGATTTCCAGTTGGGTATTTCAGAAATGAAAATTATTTTCAAGCCAAAGCAGACGCTCATCAATGCTATGGAATGGTCGGAGCATTTTTTAGGCGCTCCCGTAGTATGTGTACCAAGATAGCGCACAACCTGATAACCCCAACCTGGTACACATATTATGTGAGCACCCTTTTTTATATCCAAAATTTGGCCAAGTATTCATAATATCAAACCATTTATCCATAGACCATGCTGACCAAGAGCTCTGGCCCACCTCTCTGCTGCAGCAATCTTAGATAACACCTGGGCTGCATATTTGACACACACTTTTGGGTAGCTTTGCAAGCACAAGTGGAATTCCGTCAAATTTGCAGGAGCGGAACTCTTCGGATGAAAAAGAAGGGTACTGCACGAAAATGGTCATCTTTTTTAATAGGCGAATTCCACCAGCGTGACTCGCAAACACATTATTGCGTACTGTTTTGAGTAAATGAAATGATCAGAACCATTGAAACATGTATATGGGAAAGTTAACCTCAAATTGTTTTACGGTTTGCACTAAGTCCATCTGTAATGAGCCCCAAATCCACTTCTCCAACACTTTCCCAGAAAATGCTAGCGAGATGGTCTGAGCGGATAACGTCAAGGGCTTTGAAAACTTCCCAATCAAACCATGTGCATAAACTTGCAGTGCATTGTGTGCAGGAACTTTTTCTCTGCTTTTCTCGACTCTCCCAAGTCAACAAAGACATATCCAACCATCATATCTTATTTTGAATTGTAGACAATATTTTCTTTGACTAAAAAGATGAAAAAAGATAGGTTTATCTTCCACGACTAAGTTATGTCGGGTTTTGAACCAAATTTCGCACATTAAAGTTCGTTTGGTAATAATAATTGTACAATTATAAATTTGGGCACTCCTCAACTAATTTTGTTCGCCTACTTTACATCAATTTGTGTAAAGGAACTGAAACTTATGGACAGGTGTACGTGTATTCAATTGGCTATGAGTCCCTGAGCTCGTAATAGAAGTGAAACAAGGGAAATCTTCAAAACACTGTTCCCATCTTTTCCCAGATGAAATAAATATTTCACAATTTAGTGATCTAAAATAATGATAAAAGAAATTTCTTATTATTGCTCAAAGGAAGTGCCCACATAGCAGTGTTGTTATGTCATTCGCAAGATGATACTGTTAATGGAAGTAAAAATAGAAGGTACTACGCTCAGACAAACAAGCTGAAGTTACTGATACTTTGTTTGATAAGTACTTTGTTAGTGAAAAAATTGTAGAATTTTCAAGGTATTAACATGATGATATCAACACCAGTGGTGAACATTGTGAATTCTTGAAACAGATGATTAGAAAAATATGTAATACCTTAAAGCAAGCAATCTAAGCTGTGGAGGCCCTTGTTCGAATTAGATCTCGAAAAGAACACTTCAAAATGTTGACTTGTTGTAGAACTGGAATTACTGCTGCCAGTTATCCCCTCACAAATGATCGATGTTCAAATAATATGCAGGATATTTGATAAAGTTGTTTCTTTTACATCATTATTATTTAGGACTTCTGATGTTACACTAGTCCAGCCATGATAAATTGCACCGATCTCCAACTCTGAATCAATATTTATAGCTAAACTTGATTGCTGATTAGGGCTTGAGAAAAAATTGAATATTGTCTTCTAAATCTTGGTATTGCCAGTTGGAAGGCGAATAAGTTGATGCACTTTTTTTCAAGTCTTGCAAATTTTTATGGCATATTTTTCAGCTACTTTCCTCTTTTTTGGAGAAGATCTATTCAAAGTTGGCGTTCATCTTGAGTATTGCACCAATTCAAATACGCGACTGTGAGGCTTTGTTGAATATTTCTCTCTTTTTATATAAAATTACAATCTTGAACATACTGGAATGCAACATCGATTACTCATGTTGATGAGTGATGTGAATAAATAGCCTATAACAGTAGATTACAAATTATGCAATTCTAAATAACGTAAAGAAGAGATAAAACGCAGTATTATTGCAGTACAGCAGTATTGAGGTGTTTCATAAAACGCCAAGTTACCGTACCTGCGTTGTCTTGACCAAAGTTACCCTAGCAGACATCTCTCAGCAGACATTTCTCTCGTTTTTGAACGCCCCGATCACTGTTGCCAGAACTCAGATTTCAATTGAGCGATGCGAGAGTTTACGAAAAAGGCATCGATGCAAAATCAGCTGATGCTTTATGGGTTGCCAGATTAATCATAAAAACTGTGAATAATTGCCAAAAAATCACAGTTGTCCCCAAAATATAAGTGTCTCACAAATATATCCGCTTAGTATAAGAAAGACAAGTATAAGTGCTTATAATGGGAAGTAAACACAGCGAGTTTGACAAATATTGGATAGGTGGAAGAGATACTTATTATCGTTTAAACCTGTCCCAGTCGTCAATTTTTAATAAAATTGGTAAAAAGACCTACTTTGCCTCCAAAAAGATGTGTCTTACAATCATAACTCTCCATTTATACATAAACAACAGTAGTACATTTAATAAAGTGTTTATACAACGAGTTTGAAAAAGTTTGTATGGGGGGAAGATATTTTTATTATCGCTTAAACATGGCCCGATAGTCAATTTTTGGAAAAAAATGGCAAAAAGACCTAGTTTTCCCCCAAAAATGAGTGTCTTGCAATTACGGGCCCCTCATTTACACAAGACCAGTAGTGGTACATATTATAAAGTGTTAATACAGCGAGTTTGAAAAAGTTTGTATGGGGGGAAGATATTATTATTATCGCTTAAACATGGCCCGATAATTAATTTTTGATAGAAATGGCAAAAAGACCTATTTTGCCCTGAAGAATGAGTGTCTTGCAGTTATGGGCCCCACATTTGCACAGGACCAGCAGTAGTACATATAACAAAGTGTTTATACAGCGAGTTTGAAAAAGTTTGTATGGGGGGAAGATATTTTTATTATCGCATAAACATGGCCCGATAGTCAATTTATGAGAAAAATGGCAAAAAGACCTCTTTTGCCCCAAAAAATGAGTGTCTTGCAGTTATGGGCCCCACATTTACAAAACACCAGTAGTAGTACATATAATAAAGTGTTAATACAGCGAGTTTGAAAAAGTTTGTATGGGGGGAAGATATTTTGATTATCGCATAAACATGGCCCGATAGTCAATTTATGAGAAAAATGGCAAAAAGACCTCTTTTGCCCCAAAAAATGAGTGTCTTGCAGTTATGGGCCCTACATTTACAAAACATCAGTAGTAGTACATATAATAAAGTGTTAATACAGCGAGTTTGAAAAAGTTTGTATGGGGGGAAGATATTTTTATTATCGCATAAACATGGCCCGATAGTCAATTTATGAGAAAAATGGCAAAAAGACCTCTTTTGCCCCAAAAAATGAGTGTCTTGCAGTTATGGGCCCCACATTTACAAAACACCAGTAGTAGTACATATAATAAAGTGTTAATACAGCGAGTTTGAAAAAGTTTGTTTGGGGGGAAGATATTATTATTATCGCTTAAACATGGCCCGATAATCAATTTTTGATAGAAATGGCAAAAAGACCTATTTTGCCCTAAAGAATGAGTGTCTTGCAGTTATAGGCCCCACATTTACACAGGACCAGCAGTAGTACATATAACAAAGTGTTTATACAGCGAGTTTGAAAAAGTTTGTATGGGGGGAAGATATTTTTATTATCGCATAAACATGTCCCGATAGTCAATTTTTGATGGAAATGGCAAAAAGACCTCTTTTGCCCCAAAAAATGAGTGTCTTGCAGTTATGGGCCCCACATTTACAAAACACCAGTAGTAGTACATATAATAAAGTGTTAATACAGCGAGTTTGAAAAAGTTTGTATGGGGGGAAGATATTTTTATTATCGCATAAACATGGCCCGATAGTCAATTTATGAGAAAAATGGCAAAAAGACCTCTTTTGCCCCAAAAAATGAGTGTCTTGCAGTTATGGGCCCCACATTTACAAAACACCAGTAGTAGTACATATAATAAAGTGTTAATACAGCGAGTTTGAAAAAGTTTGTATGGGGGGAAGATATTTTTATTATCGCATAAACATGGCCCGATAGTCAATTTATGAGAAAAATGGCAAAAAGACCTCTTTTGCCCCAAAAAATGAGTGTCTTGCAGTTATGGGCCCCACATTTACAAAACACCAGTAGTAGTACATATAATAAAGTGTTAATACAGCGAGTTTGAAAAAGTTTGTATGGGGGGAAGATATTTTTATTATCGCATAAACATGGCCCGATAGTCAATTTATGAGAAAAATGGCAAAAAGACCTCTTTTGCCCCAAAAAATGAGTGTCTTGCAGTTATGGGCCCCACATTTACAAAACACCAGTAGTAGTACATATGATAAAGTGTTATTACAGCAAGTTTAAAAAAGTTTGTATGGGGGGAAGATATTTTTATAATTGCTTAAACATGGCCCGCTAGTCAATTAATGATAGAAATGGTAAAAAAAACCTAATTTGTCTCAAAAAGTGAGTATCTTACAATTACGAGCCCCTCATTTACACAAGACCAGCAGTAGTACATATAATAAAGTGTTAATACAGCTAGTTTGAAAAATTTGTATGGGGGGAAAATATTTTTATAATCGCTTAAACATGGCCCGCTAGTCAATTTACGATAGAAATGGCAAAATGACATAGTTCGCCCTTAAAAAAATGTCTTATAATCAGGGTCCCCCATTTACACTTTGGGTAGTAGACACACTTATTGCATTGGATAATTAGTTGGTCTTAGTAGTAAGCCACCACACCACGTCAAGGTGCCAACTATCGGGATGGTTTTCATCTCAAAACTGGCGACGATCGAGAGAGAAAACCCTTAACTTTGGCATATATTGCAAAAGGTAAAATAGACTGATCATTTGTGTGTCCATGAAGCCGATGG